CAAAATTTATTGTGTATTTTTTCAGGAATAAAGCAATCCTCGACAATCAAGGACTCACGTTCTTTCTTAAGACATGGACAATCAAGTAACAATCATATTTTCATAATGCACAAGTACAACCAATAATATATTCATATATCATCATGAAAACATTTTCTCATCGCCAAACCTGTGCATCATTTGGGCACCACTTACTGCTAGTCGTGCGAGCCTCCAGCCTCAGTGACAAATTGACTTGTAAATACGCCTTTAAAATTCAACCTGATCTGATTCTTTAAAACAATATTTCTTTTCTACTTGCCACGGTTTTATTCATTTTTGTAGCGGTCAGTATGGAGTCTTGGGTCATATTCAGCGGGGATCAACTGGAAACAAAGACATGATGTCTTCGGTTGTCATATTTTAGTGAAATGCACGCATAATATCAGGGCCAATTGGATCCCCGCTTGAACCTGCCATTGGATGAATACAAACATGCGAAATCAATTAAGACATCGGGGAAAGTCACCGGCGCCCGGTTGATTTATAAATCGGCCGATGACTACTCATCGGCAGGCGCCCGGCGCATATGTGAACTGGGCATTAGTCACTGAACTATACACATACAATATTAAAAAAATGTATTTCTGTATTCTTTTATTATGTAGTATTGATATTTTGTAAAACATTTACATGTCTTAATCGCGTAACTTTACCTTATTTATTAATAATTACCTTATTATTAATGGCCGGGATAAATCAACTTCTTTAAATGTTAAAACATTTCTGATCCTATGATACTGGTATAGCAGGTACAGTTTCAAAAGTATACATATAGATCCTATTATACTTGTATAGCAGGTACAGTTATAAAAGTATACATAATGATCCTATGATATTGGTATAGCAGGAACAGTTACAAAAGTATACATATTGATCCTATGATACAAACGATGATGTACAACACGAGTGCAATGCGATCAAGCATCAATGCAGCTTCGTACCACTGAAATGTGACAGTTTGGACCATGATTCCATTGGTATAGAAGGTACGGTTACAAAAGTATACATATAGATCCTATGATACTGGTATAGCAGGTACAGTTAGAAAGGTATACATATTGATCCTATGATACTGGTATAGCAGGAACAGTTACAGAAGTATTCTTATTGATCCTATGATATTGGTATAGCAGGAACAGTTACAAAAGTATTCTTATTGATCCTATGATACTGGTATAGCAGGAACAGTTACAAAAGTATTCTTATTGAACCTATGATATTGGTATAGCAGGAACAGTTACAAAAGAATTCTTATTGATCCTATGATACTGGTATAGCAGGTACAGTTACAAAAGTATACATATTGATCCTATGATACTGGTATAGCAGGAACAGTTACAAAAGTATACATATAGATCCTATGATACTGGTATAGCAGGAACAGTTACAAAAGTATACATATTGATCCTATGATACTGGTATAGCAGGTACAGTTACAAAAGTATACATATTGATCCTATGATACTGGTATAGCAGGTACAGTTACAAAAGTATACATATTGATCCTATGATATTGGTATAGCAGGTACAGTTACAAAAGTATACATATAGATCCTATGATACTGGTATAGCAGGTACAGTTAGAAAGGTATACATATTGATCCTATGATATTGGTATAGTAGGTACAGTTACAAAAGTATACATATTGATCCTATGATATTGGTATAGCAGGTACAGTTACAAAAGTATACATATTGATCCTATGATACTGGTATAGCAGGTACAGTTAGAAAGGTATACATATTGATCCTATGATATTGGTATAGCAGGTACAGTTACAAAAGTATACATATTGATCCTATGATACTGGTATAGCAGGTACAGTTAGAAATGTATACATATTGATCCTATGATACTGGTATAGCAGGTACAGTTAGAAAGGTATACATATTGATCCTATGATACTGGTATAGCAGGAACAGTTACAGAAGTATTCTTATTGATCCTATGATATTGGTATAGCAGGAACAGTTACAAAAGTATTCTTATTGATCCTATGATACTGGTATAGCAGGTACAGTTACAAAAGTATACATATTGATCCTATGATACTGGTATAGCAGGAACAGTTAGAAAGGTATACATATTGATCCTATGATACTGGTATAGCAGGTACAGTTAGAAAGGTATACATATTGATCCTATGATACTGGTATAGCAGGTACATTTAGAAAGGTATACATATTAATCCTATGATACTGGTATAGCAGGAACAGTTACAGAAGTATTCTTATTGATCCTATGATATTGGTATAGCAGGAACAGTTACAAAAGTATTCTTATTGATCCTATGATACTGATATAGCAGGTACAGTTACAAAAGTATACATATTGATCCTATGATACTGGTATAGCAGGAACAGTTACAAAAGTATACATATAGATCCTATGATACTAGTATAGCAGGAACAGTTACAAAAGTATACATATTGATCCTATGATACTGGTATAGCAGGTACAGTTACAAAAGTATACATATTGATCCTATGATACTGGTAAACCAGGTACAGTTACAAAAGTATACATATAGATCCTATGATACTGGTATAGCAGGTACAGTTACAAAAGTATACATATTGATCCTATGATATTGGTATAGCAGGTACAGTTACAAAAGTATACATATAGATCCTATGATATTGGTATAGCAGGTACAGTTAGAAAGGTATACATATTGATCCTATGATACTGGTATAGCAGGAACAGTTACAAAAGTATACATATAGATCCTATGATACTGGTATAGCAGGAACAGTTACAAAAGTATACATATTGATCCTATGATACTGGTATAGCAGGTACAGTTAGAAAGGTATACATATTGATCCTATGATACTGGTATAGCAGGTACAGTTACAAAAGTATACATAATGATCCTATGATACCGGTATAGCAGGTACAGTTACAAAAGTATACATAATGATCCTATGATACTGGTATAGAAGGTACGGTTACAAAAGTATACATATTGATCCTATGATACTGGTATAGCAGGTACAGTTAGAAAAGTATACATATTGATCCTATGATACTGGTATAGCAGGAACAGTTACAAAAGTATACATATAGATCCTACGATACTGGTATAGCAGGAACAGTTACAAAAGTATACATTTTGATCCTATGATACTGGTATAGCAGGTACAATTAGAAAGGTATACATATTGATCCTATGATACTGGTATAGCAGGTACAGTTACAAAAGTATACATAATGATCCTATGATACCGGTATAGCAGGTACAGTTACAAAAGTATACATAATGATCCTATGATACTGGTATAGAAGGTACGGTTACAACAGTATACATATTGATCCTATGATACTGGTATAGCAGGTACAGTTAGAAAGGTATACATATTGATCCTATGATACTGGTATAGTAGGTACAGTTACAAAAGTATACATATTGATCCTTTGATACTGGTATAGCAGGTACAGTTACAAAAGTATACATATTGATCCTATGATACTGGTATAGCAGGTACAGTTAGAAAGGTATACATATTGATCCTATGATACTGGTATAGCAGGTACAGTTACAAAAGTATACATATTGATCCTATGATACTGGTATAGCAGGAACAGTTACAAAAGTATACATATAGATCCTATGATACTGGTATAGCAGGAACAGTTACAAAAGTATACATATTGATCCTATGATACTGGTATAGCAGGTACAGTTACAAAAGTATACATATTGATCCTATGATACTGGTATACCAGGTACAGTTACAAAAGTATACATATAGATCCTATAATACTGGTATAGCAGGTACAGTTACAAAAGTATACATATTGATCCTATGATATTGGTATAGCAGGTACATTTACAAAAGTATACATATAGATCCTATGATACTGGTATAGCAGGTACAGTTAGAAAGGTATACATATTGATCCTATGATACTGGTATAGCAGGTACAGTTAGAAAGGTATACATATTGATCCTATGATACTGGTATAGCAGGAACAGTTACAAAAGTATACATATATATCCTATGATACTGGTATAGCAGGTACAGTTACAAAAGTATACATATTGATCCTATGATACTGGTATAGCAGGAACAGTTACAAAAGTATACATATATATCCTATGATACTGGTATAGCAGGTACAGTTAGAAATGTATACATATTGATCCTATGATACTGGTATAGCAGGTACAGTTACAAAAGTATACATATAGATCCTATGATACTGGTATAGCAGGAACAGTTTCAAAAGTATACATATAGATCCTATTATACTTGTATAGCAGGTACAGTTATAAAAGTATACATAATGATCCTATGATACCGGTATAGCAGGTACAGTTACAAAAGTATACATATTGATCCTATGATATTGGTATAGCAGGAACAGTTACAAAAGTATACATATTGATCCTATGATACAAACGATGATGTACAACACGAGTGCAATGCGATCAAGCATCAATGCAGCTTCGTACCACTGAAATGTGACAGTTTGGACCATGCTTCCATTGGTATAGAAGGTACAGTTAGAAAGTATACATATAGATCCTATGATACTGGTATAGCAGGTACAGTTACAAAAGTATACATATAGATCCTATGAAACTGGTATAGCAGGTACAGTTACAAAAGTATACATATTGATCCTATGATATTGGTATAGCAGGTACAGATACAAAAGTATACATATAGATCCTATGATACTTGTATAGCAGGTACATTTACAAAAGTATACATATTGATCCTATGATACTGGTATAGCAGGAACAGTTACAAAAGTATACATATAGATCCTATAATACTGGTATAGCAGGAACAGTTACAAAAGTATACAATGTCATGTTGATCCTATGATATTGGTATAGCAGGTACAGTTACAAAAGTATACATATAGATCCTATGATACTGGTATAGCAGGAACAGTTACAGAAGTATACATAAAGATCATATGATATTGGTATAGCAGGTACAGTTACAAAAGTATACATATTGATCCTATAATACAAACGATGATGTACAAAATGAGTGCAATGCGATCCAGCATCAATGCAGCTTTGTACCACTCGTCCTGGTTAACTTGCGCAGGTGATGGACGAGGGTCTTGATTGGAGCTCTTCAAATATCTCAAGATCTCGGTCAAGGTTTTATCAAGCTTGTTCGTGTTCAGATCGGTCATTTCATCGGTGTCATTATTTCTGACAATATTTGACGTGAGCTGAGCTTCGTCGTCGTCTCTGTGTTCAAAGTGGACCAGTGGTGAGTACCTTTCTTCTCGAACGCAACACAGAGAACCCAGCTTACCGTGAACAAGCTAAAATACATCAAGAAACTTTCTATTTCTCTATATCATAATATATGTGTGCGGTAAATATTTGATGTTTGTAAATGACATGTCAAGGCAGAGGATCCCCTTTTGTTTGTTTATTTTCGTTGAGTGCTCATTGCATGTATTTTTAGAATGAGGAATATTCCCCGGGAATATCTCTAGGTGGATCCTCGATCCATGATCAACTACATTTTATATTGCCCCCCTCCCTCTTGCCTCAAAGTTACTGAATAGTTGGTGATTTTTCAAAATTTATTTTTATATAACAACCAAGAAGTGTTAAAGGAAATATATTTTTGGGACTGGCATTTTGGTATTGGTGCCTGTAAAAATACCTATTTAGAGTAAAACAAAGTGAACATCCACGGAGCCACAAAAATGTGTTCACTAAAGGTAGGTGTTCACTACAGTCTTTTCATTTGTTTATTCATTTATAAAGGATTCGGTGGAGTACGTGCTCAGATGGGGTATTCTCTATAAAAGGTGTTCATTAGAGGTAGGTGTTCACTACAGTGTGCTCATTTGTTTATTCATTTATAAAGGATTCGGTGGAGTACGTGCTCAGATGGGGTGTTCACTATAAAAGGTATTCACTAGAGATAGGTGTTCACGAAGATAGGTTTAACTGTATAATTATTCTGTACATAATTCTAAACATACCGACTTGAGCCAGTTTGGTGCACTTCCCCTTCTTGGACCTCTGACGCACATGTTCAATACAAACATTGATATAATGATGGATAGGACTACCATAACCAGGTTGAAGCAATAATATGCACCTGAAATACAATTCAGATATACAGGGTGGTACACATGTTCAATACAAACATTGAGATAATGATGGATAGGACTACCATAACCAGGTTGAAGCAATAGTAAGCACCCGAAGTACAATTCAGATATACAGGGAGGTACACATGTTCAATACAAACAGAGAAGAGAATTGACCCTTATTTTAGAGGATTGGCCCATGATTTAAAAGATACTTTAGAGATTGACCCATGATTTAGAGGATTTACCCATATTTAAAAGGATTGACCCATGATTTACCCATACGTTAGAGAATTATTACCTATCATAGGGACCTGTGTCAGTTCAGTTGGAAGATAATTCTCAAGCATGAGCAGCATAAACACATAGGCAAGGACTATCCCGATACCTACAAAATAAAAAAACACATCATATACAAGGTTGTAGCCAGCAATAAGAAAGCCAGTTATATGTTTTACCTACATAATGAATATTCTTATACATGTACATGGATGAAGCTAGCTCTCTATGAAGAAGGTATACATTTTATACCTTAAAAACGTTGACCTACTCATGATTTTTGGACACCCAGTAAGCTTATGGTCGAATGATATTAAGTAATTTCCAATTTCATGGGGTTATTGATCAGTGATTTTCTAATAAAAGGTGGACATTGGATTAACATTATAGGATGATTACCCACCAAGATTCACTAAATATAATGATTACCTACCTAGATTCACTTTCTCTCCAGACTCTGGTGGGAGTACAAAAAGGAACATGGTCAGAATACACAGCATGATGACGGGGAACAAGAACATGTATCTGTGGTAGACGGACACTCTCTGAAAATACAAAACCAAACTTTACAGAGAGATGATGTGACTAAGAGTGTAAATGGTGTGAAATAACCAAGAAAATGGTATGAAATTAGCAAGGAATATGGTGTGAAATAAGTAAAAATAGTATGAAATAAGCATGGAAATCAGGTGAAATAAGTATGGAAATGATAAGAAATAAGTAAAAAAAATTGGTAAAATGAACAAGAAAACGGTGTGAAATAAGCATAGGAATTGTGTGTAATAAATATAGTCAAGTAATGTTGTGAAATAGAAATGGAAATGGTGTGAAATAACCAAGAAAATGGTATGAAATTAGCAAGGGAAATTGTGTCAAATAAGTAAAACAATGTGTGAAATAAGCATGGAAATCGGGTGAAATAAGTATGGAAATAATAAGAAATAAGTCAAAAAAGTTGTAACATTAACAAGAAAACAGTGTGAAATAAGCATAGGAATTGTGTGAAATGAAAATGGAAATGGTGTGAAATATGTCATATATCAAACAATTTTGTGAAATGAGCAAGAAAATGGTGTGAAATCAGTATGCAGATCTCGTGAAATAAGCATGATGCAATTTTCACTCATTAACATGAATATTATTAAATGAGATTTTTGCAATGAGATCCAGGGTTTAAAGTCGTTTTGCATGCATGCCAATCAGTGAAAAACAATGAGAATATAGCATCTTTTCAAAGTGTGATAACAATGTAAAAGTCCCATTAATTCTTACCTTTAGACCAATTGTGTATGTAACATCAGGGTATGGTTCCTTACAACAAGCGTAGTATTTAACATTCTTCTTGGCTTCCCATGATGTCACATCCCATTCTCCAGACAGGATATACGTAGAAGATACCTCTGCGGAATTGTACGAAGATGGCTGCAGAAAACAAATATTATTCGTTTTTGATTTCTATTAAAGGAAAAAGATCAAGCTTTTATTACATGACCAAAATCAATGAGCCAAAGAAGTCTTTGTTAGAGTACAGGGAGGCAATGGCGTCCATGTATGTAATTGTCGGACTGCATATACTGAGTGTCTGATATACCGAATTATCTACATGGATGAACTCCTCCCCCCCCCCCTGTCCTATGATGGGTAGAAAAGAATATGAGGTCATATATTTGCTATGAATCAGAGTCAAGGCCTTTGTCTCAAAGCAATCTAAGTGAGAAATCTGCATCTTGCCTTCCATCTTATGTCTTACTTATATCTTGGACGATTGATTAAATGTGTTTAATATTTCAAATCAGCTACCCTTACCCTTCGACTATTATAAATCAATCTTATGAATCTCAAATGAATCTTTCTTGGCCTTACATGGAAGTTTAAATGTGAAATGAAAGTCATAGAGGGAAAATGCTAGAATTCAAATCACAACTTCACATTCTGAGGAATCAAACAAAGTATTAACATGTAAAATGTCACTACATGCCATTTGTTACGGAGGTCGAATGCCAAACACCAACTGCTGTCCTCAAAAAAAGTTTAAGACTATAACAATATGTCACTGATTCTGGTGGCGACATAAAAATTAATACAAGTATACAAGTCAGGCTCTTCTTAAACTCTTACCTCCATGTTCAGCATAAAACATGAAATTTACCGGTGAATAATTATATATGACACAAAATCTCCCATCAACCACAATATGCCAAACACCAACTGCCAAACACCGTCTCAAAAAGTCACTTGTTAGACTTACCTCCATGTTCAGCATAAAACCGTCATATGTCCATGAACCAAACTTCAATTCACATTTCTGTTCATCAAATGGAAACCTGGACATATCTAGCTGACAGTAAACCTTAACCATTGCATGGGGGACCCATAGAACCATGCCTGAGGAATAGACTACAGCATTGGCTTCAAATGTCATTTTGTACTCTTCAGCTGCTCTGGAATAGACCAGTGAATAACTATACAGTGAGCCCCCCAAAAAACGCAACAAGCAAAAACATTTGGAAAACCACAAAACCAGTGATGATAACATCAAATTCATTTATTTTAACATGAAGCCACGTGTCTCCTCTTTCCAATGGTATGTCATTTATTTATTCATATATGACCACAGACCACTGAATAATCATTACGTATTCACGACGGGCCAAAATCTTCTCTGGACCAAGTCCAGTACAGTCCCTCGGGTTGATATATTGTATTTCCCTCAGATATACCCTGTATCAAAAACCTCCCATTAAATTACCTCTACATATTATGTGCTGCTGAGTGAGCAATTCCAAGCTTCATACTTACAGACAAACATTTAGTATCAAAGCTTTTTTGATACTGCATAAAAGTTACTCTTACTTTTTCAGTGTTTGCATATCTCAGGATCAAAAATAGGCATTGCGTTTATTAAAGCTAAGCTATTCATGGGCTTAAATGCATTTCTATTTGTTCTTTCAATTGAAGCCATTATAATGTTTTTTAATACATACGAATTATAAAGGACAATATCCGGTTTCCAGAGCTTAGAGATGGGAACACGAATATGAGAAACTCCACCGAAGTCCTCAGGGTGCCATTGCAATTGGATGTCAGTCCAACTCTGAAATTATATAAGTCAAGTCAAGTCAAGTCAGCCAAGTTTGCAATTTTGTCAAAACTGGTTGAAAACTCTTTCAAAACCAATGTCAGCACTTCTCAGGTGATTTTGGGCCAAAATTATCAGAGAAATCTGAACTTTTTTGAAAACTGGCCCTTCCCCTTTGGAAAGGTTGGCTCGATGTGCCTGATACCCGGGGCACTATTCCAAGATGATATTCTTGCCCTTCGGGCTTCGTTGAATATCACTTGTGAAAGATGCACAGGAATTCACATCAATAAAATGAAATATTTGTTTAATATTGTGCTTTAAAAGCATATGGTACTGTAGTTGATGAGATATATTTTTCTGTAGACCAACGTTTCACGTTATGAAATCTAAAGCCATTATAAAATTTGCATGTATTTAACTGGTGGGGGATAAATTAATATACAAAGCATGTGAGATATAATAATTTTTAAATATAAAAGTTTACCTTGGTGATATACAAGCTCAGTGTCAGTATCTGTGATTTCTCATCCTGAAAAACAATATGAATAATGATGTCAATATTTGGGAAGTCTCATCCTGAAAAACAATATGAATAATGATGTCAAAATTTTGGAAGTCTCATCCTGAAAGCAGTATAAATGCAACGATGTCAATATTTGAGTTGTCATCCTGAAAAAATATAAATACAACGATGTCAATATTTGAGACTTCATCCTGAAAACAATTTAAATCGAATGATGTCAATATTTAAGACTTTATCCTGAAATCAATATAAATACAATGATGTCGATATTTGAGACTTCATCCTGAAATCAATATAAATACAACGATGTCGATATTTGAGACTTCATCCTGAAAACAATTTAAACACAACGATGTCAATATTTGAGACTTCAACCTGAAAACAATTTAAATACAATGATGTCAATATTTTAGACTTCATCCTGAGAGTAATGTGGATATAATGGTGTCACCTTCAGTGATTTCAAAATTACAAAGTGGTTTCCATGACCTTAGAAAAAATGGTTAATTGGCTGGTTAAGGCGTAAGGGATGAAGTTGAAATTAAAACATATGAAAAGTTCATCAATTTCCAAATGCATATGAAAGCAATGTCCCATTCAATGCTTAAACAACATCCAAACTGATGCAAATGAGTTTAGACCATATATGGAAACAATCGGAATATTTAAAGTGATCACAGCGGGAACACATGCTGTGATTTACAACATGCCGTGATTGCTTTTAAACCTTTGTATAATGAAAGTGACCGCTTTATATAATGAAAGTGAACATTATACAAAACACCTGAATGCAACACTAGAGGATTAAATAATTGACATATACTGCTTTAAAAGAAATGGCTGAATTTAAGGGACCTGTTAAAATGAGAACTATTGAATTAATGGGGATTGGTCAATATCACTAGTCCACAGCAGGAAGGTCTCCTCCAAAATGGTGGACAAAAAAATTTGATATTGATAATCATTTGATGTCAGTTAAACTCAAGCCAGTAAAATGGACAAATGAATGGAGTGGAGGGGACTGTACGATTTCTGCTCGAATTTAATGCAACAAAAACGTATGGTTTATTTTTTTCATGGGAAAGATTACTCATTAATTCCTATATGAAAAGGTGCATAAGTACGATAAAATCTGTAAGGAACAGAAATCGCACAATCGCCTCCACTCATTTTGTCAATTTTACGGGCAAGAAACCAAGTAAATCTGAATTCAAAATATTTTACCATGGAGATGTATATGTAAGTTTCCATTTGCAATATTCAAAATCAAAATTTTATATTTCATGTCAAATTGCAGCTCACTATAGTTTTCCTCTTTATCCAATTATCCAATCTTATAATCACACAAATCTACATTTAGCATATACTGTATATGATTAAGCCTAAGGTCAATGTGTATTATATTCTGTATATGTGCACCAATGGCCATTCTGATACTAATCACATCTTTCTGCATGCCCCCCTCTTTTGTGAGCCCAGAAATTTTTAGGGCACCAAATATTTTTGAGCCCAAAAATGATGTAAGGCCTCATCGGTCATTTTGGACATAACTTGGCCTTTTATGCCAAATTAGCTTAAATTGGGTCTTATTTTTTCAAAATTTGGGCCCAATTTAGGGTTTTAGAGGCCAAAATTTTTTCAACCGCGCAAAGAAATTATTTTTTCCAACTCAAACTTTTGCCCCCACTTGTAAGCTTCTGGATGCGCCAATGTGCACTCCTAATATATCATACTTATTTACCAAGTCAACAATTTGCACGAGATTCATGCCCAAAGTCATGTTGACAGTATCTTTAGTCTTCAAAACAGGCCTGGCATATTTGTCATATGTTTGGTCCTCAAACAGCCACTTTAATAGCCTAGCTTCTTCAACAATCAGTGAATCGTTACTGCCAGGTGGGTGACATAAGCCTATAACATAGAAAGCATAAGGTAAAACAACATGATGGAAATTTCTGTGTATTTTTTTTCATTACATTCATACATTGAACCTTAAGGCTCAGCTGGAAAGTAACATTTTGGTAAAAAATTGCTGTACCTGCACATGTTAATTTCTGGTAAAAAATGAAGTATGAAGGCATGTGTGTATTTCCTTGCTTTTTTCAGGAAAGTATTATTACATTGTTTACTTTTAGTAAACCTGGAAACAGGTCAATGTAGCTCCCGTGTTGTCTGGAAACTTTGAAAGAAAATTTGGAAAAATAGAAAGTGTGAAATTTCAGAATTTCCTGGAGTTCCCATTGAACTCTTACTAGATATTCTAAAAGAAGACAATGTAATTATACTTTCCTGAAAAACAGAAAGGAAATACACACATGCCTACTTTATTTTGTACCAGAAATTAACATGTGCGGGTATAGTAATAGTATAGTAATTTTTTCCCAAAATGTTATTTTTCAGCTGTACCTAATACTTGTATACTACACTTACCACTACTGCAGAACAGCATCAGAATTGTCAAACATATAACAGCAAGTTTAAGCTCCATGATTTTCCCCCTAATCGTTCCTGCTTCTAATCGCAAATGTCCCTTTTCACAAACAAGCCAGGCTAACACAAACCAATCTCACTGTGCAGCAAATGCAGTTTACCCAAAAGTACACATATAAATATGAATTTGGCTCACTGACACGCTTGGTTATTTCAAATACCTGTATTATCACCTTATACTGTACCATGTATACATGCACCTCCTGTGTTATTGAAAACTTTGTTTACAGGATTTAAATGTCAAAAGCCTTTAACTTTATTTAGCACATAAACCTATTGGGTTACTTATTCAAAAATTTAACGTTAACTAGCAGTTAAAACGTTTGTACAAGTCATGTTTATAGGAATGTTGTTTGCGGGACAAAGGACAGGTGGCGGTAAACCCCTCTTTTAGCCCCCCTACAAAACAAGTATATATTGACATGGAATTGAAGACGGAGTATGACTTATTACTTAGAATGTGATTTCTGAGAATTTTGACATTTGACCTTGACATAAGGGTGGTTTAAAGGTCAACTTTGAAAGATGCTATTTTTGTCAAAATTGTGCCGTTTTCTAATACAAGAAATGAAAGCAATTGGCTTAATTTTGATTATGACTGATAATAAGACATGTGAATGGAAATAAAAATAATTTTTAATAAATTCTCATGGGCAATTACATGAAAATCTTGATAATAAATTCCCATATGGGCTTTTTGGGGGGGACTTATTTTTCCTGTTTCAAAAATGAATGTTCTTGTTGCCTTTTAAGACTCCAACACTATCCTAATATAAGCATGTTTTAAGAATTGGGATGTGATTATTATTTTAAATGCCCATGGGCAATTAGGATAATATGGCTGCAATCAAATGCACACAAGGGCACTTCCATAAGAATGAATTTTCTTTCTCAATTGCTTTTCGCCAGTTTTCTAAACATGTTTGCCATATTCTAAATAGTTATAGGGTCACTTTTAAAAAATGCCCATGGGCATTTGCATTGGAATTTGAAATTAAATGTCTGTATGGAGACTTAGTTTTAAAGTTATTTGCCAATTTGCAGTTCCCATATTTGAATTTCAATATATATCATAAAATATAAGGCAGCATCATGTATAAATGGCATGACACTCAAAAGATTGCCTAAAATAATTTCTACTTATTCCCTATTTAGAAAAACACTTAGGCCATTCAAAGATTTTTTATAATTTATGTCACTAAATTCTATGTTTTCAGAAAAAAACAAAATGTTCTCGTCTACTCTGTACTTGAAATGCATATAAATGACAGAGGGAATTGTGATCTTGAATTATATTGTATTGAAATGACTTCCAAGATTGATTAAAAACTACATAGCGTTAGTTTTGTCTTCAATAACAAGATCATCTGAATCAAGAGGTGTTATTTGCTTTGCCACAATGTGTTATTGCATTTTCACTATTAAATAATATATAAAACCCTTTAAATAAATAAATGTTTTGTAGTTTTTAATATAAGGCCCTTCATCAGAATGCCAACATATTAATTTTGAATGGCCTAATCTGTACATGCAGTTATGTAGTGTACATGTATGCCCAGGTTAGCAGCCATATTGAAAACATGAATCAGTCAGCCTTATTTTCATCACAAAAGTTAAGTTTTAGTGGTGAGCCCACACTCCCACAACAATGATATTTGCAGAAAAGCTACTTTACAGTCTCTGCATTATACAGTTTCAATATCTTTTTTGTGGGAGTGTGGGCTGATGGTTAAATTTTCAACGAAAGGAAATGAGCACCATGCTAAAACTTGATAACAAAATAAACACAAATTGACAATGTTTTCCGGATTTGCATCGGTAAACTTCATACATATCTATATTTCGTTAATGTTCTACTCTGAATGCTTGTATGCCATATGTTCCATATTATAAAGTCTATGTAATGATAAGTTTTGATACTATTTTGATGGTAAACATAGTGTGTACCCATATTCAGACAGCCTTGTGGTAGGGGTTCTTACTGCCAATTTTTCAAAGAACCTGAAAACTAATGCCACTTTTTGAAATTGCACATCTCAAGAAAAAAGGTTTATCTACAACTTGCAATCGGTTTTAAAAGTAAATGGAAGAATGTGTTTTTTGGAAAAAGTCTAAGTTGACCAATAGTCTGTTAAATGGACCTGTTCTTTATTTTGTTAAGGCATACTGCTTGCAATTGTGTTAAGTAAGAACAACAATTATTTTAAATATTTCACTTAGTCAGGACAGTTTCATATATCTAGGAGATTAATCAAATAGGCAGTACTGTAAACTTAAAGAAATTTGCATGAATATATTTCATTGTTTTCATGTAACTTTAACAGTATTTCCCTCAATGGCAGTCAATATTTGTATAAAAAGACTTTTGGATCACCCCTCGTATATATAATTTGTTCAGAACATTGCATCCAGAATAAAGCAATAATGCTCAAATTTAATTTTGCAACACCATTTCCCGGGTTTACAGTTCCATTACATTAGGCCCATTACATAAATGAAATAATAAGTAAAGTATAAACAAAGAACGAAAGTATTATTATTAAAATAAACAGAATTTATTTTTTCATGAAATAGCACCAAAGCAGCATTTAAAACAAGGCATTAACATGCAAAATGTCACAACCTACCATTTGTTACAGAATGCTGAACACCAACTGTCGATCAAAAACTGCTGCTACAAAAAGATAACAATATGTCACCAATTGTGGTGGTGACATAACACATATGGTGGTGACATAACAACCATAGTGTTTCAATTTTACATAACAAGCTGATAGTTTGACAATAAAATAATGTAAACAAAGATGTGTCTATGCCTTATTTCTATCAACCCAACTTATAGGAGTTACCTCTATGAGGCTAAGGAAGTAGATTGAGAAGGAAATAGACATAGAACTCATTGTTTATTTCACATTATTCACCGAGACAAAGTTATACTTCCTATTTTTCTAGTTTTGATGCTAAATGTTGATTTTAACATACAGAATATATAAAACTTTGTTTCTTTTCTGAGATACATGAATTTGATAATTTAGATAAGTATAACATCAATTAGTTATAGTATCATATTTGTTGATAAAGGGTTCATCCCTAAAACGAATATTTTCTGCACTTATATAAGTTCAGCACATCTATAACCTTCAGATTTCATATTTTTCCTTATACTTTATGAATACCCTATTTATTATTTCCATCAGAATAAATAACCAAACTGACACTAAACATGCATTTATGAAAGGACTTCTTATGAAAGGACTAATTATGAAAGGACTAATTATGAAATGACTAATTATGAAAGGACTAATTGTGAAAGGACTAATTATGAAATTACTAAAAAATAATTCTGACAAAGCATGAGCATGTGCCAAATCTGGCAAGAGTGGTTATTCACCCATGACAATACTGAATTGGCACTTGGTACTTGTTAGTTACCATGACGATTATACAAAACATTTACATGATAATTTCAATGTGCACTGATACTGAAATAATATGTAAGTCATACAGTTATACTACAGTAATACTACAGTCAATCAGTTATACAGTTATACTATTGTTATAAGACTCAATGATTGCATCCAAGCATTAAAACATTTTACATGGTTTTTCACGTCACATGCTAGAAAACTACATACTATTACAGTATTACATGTATTATGACAGTATTACATGTATTACTAGTATGACTACATATAAAGCCTCTTTGAGAAAATAATATATAAAAATACATGTATTGCAATTTAGAATCTCATTGAAGTTAAAAACTGAAAATAAGCCACTCGGTAATTTGTGCTTATACTTCATCTACTACAACCCAATCTTCTGGGTTCATGTTCATATAATCCATGTCATCACTGACATCAGCATTGTTATCACTTACATCAGCATTGTTATCACTGACATCAGCATTGTTATCACTGACATCAGCATTGTTATCACTGACATCAGCATTGTTATCACTGACATCAGCATTGTTATCAATATTGTTATCACTGACATCATCACCTCCATCCATACTGTCATCATCTAAAATCTTATCATCATCTGTATTTCCAATATCTTCATCGTCATTGTCAGTTTCACCGAGGAGTTCATCTTCATCTTCCATTTCCTTATCAATGTCATCTGTTTCACTGACATCACTAGTAAAGTTCTCTCCATCATTTGTGTTATTATCATTTCTGTCATTATTGTCATGCTCATTGTTGTCAGTGTTTTCATTTTCAAAACTTGCATTACTGTTTACACTTTCATCATTGTCACTGTTTTTGTCATCATTGTTGTCTTCGCTCTCATCGCTGCTGTTTTTGTTATCATCATCAAGGCTATTTTCATCATTGTTGTTTTCAGTTTCCTCATTGGTGATACAACTCTCACTATTACTATTTTGGTCGTCATTGTTTTCTTCATCTTCGTTCTTGTTATCCTCACTTTCATCATTATCATCATCATTGTCTCCATTTTCATAATTGTTGATTTCATCACTTGCATTACTGTTAACACTATCATCATTGTCACTGTTTCGGTCATCATTGTTTTCTTCACTTTCCTCATTGTTATCATCACTTTCATTGCTGTCACTACCATCCTCATCATTGTTTCCACTTTCATAATTGTTGTTGCTATGATCATCGTTATTGTCTCCATTTTCAACAATGTTGTCCTTGATATTATCACCATTGGCCCCTTTCTCTTCATCAGTCTCATCATCTAGTGTTATGCATGCTTTAATCCGTGTGTTCTTTACTCCAATGATTGCACAATCAGAGTCCTCATCTGAAGCATCATCATCACTGTCATCATTGTCATTGTCAGTAGCCTCATTGGCATCACTACATTCAATCTTAATATTAATATTATCAATATTTGTGGCGTCGTTGCTTCGGTTTTCTGTTTTCTCTTCAGAATTTTTTTTCCGATTTCTTTCATGATTTTTGATTTGAGTTGGGATGTTCTTTTTGTCATCAACTCGAACATAAACATTAAAGTCATTGTCACTTGACTCACTATCTGACCCTACTGCCATCTCATACCTTCTTTTATACTCCGCTTCCTTTGTTCTATCATTTTCTTTGTTACTGTCACTTGGGCTTTTTTGGGCATCACTTTCATCATCTTCACTTTCATCATGTTCACTTTCATCATCTGTTAACACAATTGCACTTTCAGAAGTTCTCCCATCCATTTCTTTCTTGTTGTTGCTTTTCACAGAAAATGAGACTTTTACACCATCAGTATCAGACACCACCTCTTCATCTGATACAACAAGGGCATTCTTGTAACGTGCTTTGTAAACAGACTCCATGTCACTGTCACTTGATTCATCAGCACCAGTTCTATCTTTGGTATTGTCTTTGATTGTGTCATCCTCACCATATTTACTTTCATCAGCATCACTTACGGCACTTTCAATGTTGTCACTATTTTCACCATCGTCACTTTTGCTTTCATTGTCACTGATATTATTTTCACCTGCATCACTTTTGCTTTCGATTTCACTGATATTATTTTCACCATCTTCACTTTTGCTTCCATTGTCACTAATATTATTTTCATCCGCATCACTTTTGCTTTCGATTTCACTGAAATTATTTTCACCATCTTCACCTTTGCTTTCATTGTCACTAATATTATTTTCATCCACATCACTATTGCTTTCATTTTCACTGATATTATTTTCACCATCTTCACTTTTGCTTTCGATGTCACTAATATTATTTTCACCATCATCACTTTTGCTTTCATTGTCACTGATATTATTTTCACCATCTTCACTTTTGCTTTCATTGTCACTAATATTATTTTCACCTGCATCACTTTTGCTTTCGATGTCACTAATATTATTTTCACCATCATCACTTTTGCATTCATTGTCACTGATATTATTTTCATCCACATCACTTTTGCTTTCATTTTCACTGATATCATTTTCACCTGCATCACTTTTGCTTTCGATGTCACTAATATTATTTTCACCATCATCACTTTTGCTTTCATTGTCAATAATATTATTTTCACCTGCATCACTTTTGCTTTCGATGTCACTAATATTATTTTCACCATCATCACTTTTGCTTTCATTGTCACTTATATTATTTTCACCCGCATCACTTTTGCTTTCAATGTTACTAATATTATTTTCACCATCGTCACTTTTGCTTTCATTGTCACTAATATTATTTTCACCATCATCATATTTGCTTTCATTGTCACTAATATTATTTTCACCATCATCACTTTTGCTTTCATTGTCACTAATATTATTTTCACCATCATCACTTTTGCTTTCATTGTCACTAATATCATTTTCAATATCATCACTTTTGCTTTCATTGTCACTGATATTATTTTCACCATCATCACTTTTGCTTTCGATGTCACTAATATTATTTTCACTGTCATCACTTTTGCTTTCATTATCACTGTTATTATTTTCACCCGCATGACTTCTGGTTTCATTGTCACTAATATTATTTTCACCGTCATCACTTTTGGTTTCATTTGCACTTATATTATTTTCACCATCATCACTTTTGCTCTCATTGTCACTAATATTATTTTCACCATCGTTTCCATCGCTATCAACTCTTACATTGTCCATTGACTTTTTATCTCGTTTCCTGCCAACATTTTCACCACCACTATCAATTTCAACAATGTCAGAGTCCCGATTACTTGTACCTTTCTTACTATTAGCACCATCATCACTGCTATCAATGTCATCACTAGCATTAGCCTCATTGTTAATATCAGCTATGCTGACATCATTAGCACTACCATTATCATCACTGCCAGTATCATTAGCATCACTGCCACTATCATTAGCATCACTGCCAACATCATTTGCATCACTGCCACCATCATTTGCATCACTGCCACTATCATTAGCATCACTGCCACCATCATTAGCATCACTGACACTGTCATTAGCATCACTGCCACTATCATTAGCATCACTTGCACTGTCATTAGCATCACTGGCTATTTCATTAGCATCACTGGCACTGTCATCATCTCCTTTATTATAGTTCGTGTCACCAACACTGTCTTTAATATTGGCATCATTGTGTTTTGTATTCATATCATCATTAAAATCACTCAAGTTATCAGTGTCACTTATATCACTATAAACATTATTCTTCTCTTCATCAAGTTCAACTTGCTTTGTATGATCTGCTTTTGGGGTCTCATTTTCTGCAACGTCGTTGTAATCACTTGAGTTTTCATCATCACTTATGTCACTGTATAAACATTTCTCCTTGTCATCAGCCTTTACTTCCTCCTTTTGCCTGTTATCATATTTTGTTTCTTGGTTGACCATTTTAATCTTTGGGATTCTATATGTTTTTATTTTATCGGGGTTTTTAACAGCTGGGGTTGTCAACCCTCTCGAATTGTCTGATTTTGGAGTGTTCGAATTTGAGTCTGAAATTCTGAATTGGGACAGTCGATTACTATCAATCCCATCATTTCTCACAACCGTAGCCTGACATTCTGGGTGAACTCTTCTACAGTGTCGTTTAACATTAGAACCTTTATAGGCACTGAATTGACAAACTGAGCACTGGTATGGCCGATAGTGTGAAGTCTTATGCCTCTGTAGCTCAGTTGAATCTGTTGTCGTATTACTGTGTTCATCCTGATCACTATTGGAACCACCCTCAGCCGTATCAACAGCATTATGATCAGATGAGGCATCAAACTTTAATTCTTTACTGTGTTCATCCTGATCACTATTGAAACCACCCTCAGCCGTATCAACAGCATTATTATCATATGAGGAATCACCAATGGTTTTAGTATCATTGCCTGGGGTCTCTTGAGAACTAGTGGAGTTTGGTCTCGCTGTACAGGTTCTATGATGGGCTGCGTATTTGGTCAATTCAGTCGTGCTGAATTCTCCACATTTCTGGCAGGTCAGCTGCGGCTTGTTGGAAACACGTTGTACAGTGGCAGAAGGAGGTGACGCGAGTTTACGCATTTCTCGTTCTTTAGATTCTTGGTCTGCAAATGAAGTAAAAGGGAATGTTTATGTGCTATTTTAAAGCAAATAATTCAGTGTTATAAGGCTAATTGCCAATGTACATTTCCACACACTTGGAAAAAGATTCATGTGGTACCTGCCCATTCACAAAGTAGTGATGACAACATAGCACTATGAAAAGTGATGATAAAAATGGGAAATTGACATATTGATATATTATATTGACCAATGGTCATATCTTGGATTGTGAGTACTTCCTGATGCATTATATCCCAGAGAAATACAATATACACAGAGTACACATATGAGTATAATTGTAATAATAAATCCAAGAGATCAGTCCGAAGTCAACAGCAGCAGTCCTTTGTTTAAAATTGTGATAATGAGAATTAATCCATTTGAAATAATCCTAAGTACAATGATAGTTTCTCTCAAATATTGGGAATGAAAGCAGTACTTTAGAACACTTACTAAATTTCTCTGTTGCTGCATCTATGGTTGCCTTGATCTTGCTTTCAATGTTAGGATTGCTTTGGAACTGTATGAAATCTAATGGCTTCTGGAGATCTGGGTGCTGACTGGCCATATGCAGTATCGCCTACAAAAGTGTAGAAATTAGTTACAGATGCCAACCAATACCATTGATGGTAGAGATATATTGTTATTACATACATATTGTAACTTACAGCCACCGTTTTGGTGACCAGTGACTGGTGTTCCGCATTTGCATTTAGCATCTGTATAAATGTATAAAAATGCAAATCTCCTAAAATCTCATTAAAAACAAAACTTTAACGAGATTTCAAAGCTATATGGAATAAGGCACAGACGTGAACAATATCGTACCTAAAACACAGCAGTGTGACAGTGAAGAATTTAGGACGGAAAATCCAAAATGGCCACCTTAAAATTTTCCCAGAATGCCCAAAAACTAATCAGTTCTTAACTTTGATACGTAGAAACATTCCTGAAAATTTCAGATTAATCTGTCAAATGGTTTGGCTGGAAACCTGTAGACAAGCTGAAAAGTGAGACGCCACCCGCCGTCCGCCAGTCAAGCTGACGACAATATCGTACCTTTATTAGGTACGATAAAAAGGAACATTGATCGCAACCAGATGAAAATGCTTCGATTCATATTACCAACATTAATAGAGCATAAACATGAAAACTGTAACACCTCAGGGTTCCCACTAGGCTTTTAGACTCCACATAAACGTGAAAACTGTAACACCTGTTTACAATTACATATGTAACCATTTGTTACACATTTAAATCAATCTAATTTTTCCATAAATTTGGCAACACTATCTCGAACAGAACATCCTTTGAAACACTGTCTGAAACATACCTTATCATGTGTCCTGAATACATTGTGGCACTTTTTACATGTATAGGGACTGTATCCAAAATGACGGCACACGTGATAACGGAAAGCGTCCACAGATTTACAGGTGAATATACCACACAGCGTACACTTCAATTTCTGCTCTATGGGGATGGTCTCTGGATTATCCCCACCAGGGGGTTTCCTTGAGGAGTTTGTCTGGGTGTTTGCTGTTGTTAAGGTGTTTGTTGTATTGGTAGTTGATGTATCAATTTTCTCTGCCTTTAGAGTAATATTTTCTGGAAAAGGAAGTGATTTTGATCAATTGTTTCTTCTTTTGTACGTTTTACATGAATTTTGAAATATATATACAACCAAATGAAATATGATTTACAGAATTGCCCAATAAACTACAACACTATTTTGCAATGGGAACTTTTGACTCCACACACCCCAGTAAACATGGCCATCACATACCAATGATATTTGTTGTCGTTTCAGCATTAAAAAATTTGAAAGGATAACAGTATCATTTCAGAGTCCATGACAGAGGTTAAACAATAATTGCAACAAATATAGCATTCAGTCCCTTGTCCAATCAACCAAATTTTGAAATACCATAAAGTGGTCGTCTTAGGCAGTCAGACAACTGTGAATTTCCATTCTGCATATTGGATGACAAAGCTATATTGAATAAGGAATATCAAAACTGAAAGCTAAAACTGCACCAAATGTACTTACTGGCCCTTCTTAGTGCCACCATACAAAGTCTGTTGATCTCTCTGGCAGATGTGTTCCCAACCAGGACAGGTTCCTGAAAACAAAAGACAAACAAAGTTCTTAGATGAACACGCTGGACTAGACCCTGATGTCTTAATCATGAGGTCGTGAGTTTGAGATGAGAGCTCACTGCGTTCTATAAGAAATTCTTATGCTCTGTCTTAGTTCTATTACCTTACATGGCAAATCTTCACAATCTTTCTCAGTTACTATGGCAACTATGGTAATTCAATATAAGTTTTCTCACCTTGAATGGCAGCTCTTTATGATCTTTTTTGATATGTGGCAGCATGATTCTGTAGAGACCAGACTTCCTAGAGCAATAGGGGCATTTGTATGGGTTCATGTGCTGAGCTACTAAGTGTGTGCGAAGTTTGTATTCTTTGTCTGTCTCATACACTTTGCAGATAGAGCAGGTATACACCAAATGTTCAATGGAGGCTCTATATCCCAGACCTATAAATAGAAGAGGAGATCTTAAACCAAATGTTCAATGGAGGGTCTATATCCCAGACCTATAAATAGAAGAGGAGATCTTAAACCAAATGCTCTATGGAGGCTCTATATCCCAGACCTATAAATAGAAGAGGAGATCTTAAACCAAATGCTCTATGGAGGCTCTGTATCCAAGACCTATAAATAGCAAAGGACATGTATACACCAAATGCTCAATGGAGGCTCTATATCCCAGATCTATAAATAGCAAAGGACATGTATACACCAAATGTTCAATGGAGGCTCTATATCCCAGACCTATAAATAGAAGAGGAGATCTTAAACCAAATGTTCAATGGAGGCTCTGTATCCAAGACCTATAAATAGCAAAGGACATGTATACACCAAATGCTCAATGGAGGCTCTATATCCCAGACCTATAAATAGAAGAGGAGATCTTAAACCAAATGCTCTATGGAGGCTCTGTATCCAAGACCTATAAATAGCAAAGGACATGTATACACCAAATGCTCAATGGAGGCTCTATATCCCAGATCTATAAATAGCAAAGGACATGTATACACCAAATGCGCAATGGAGGCTCTATATCCAAGACCTATAAATAGGAGAGGACATGTATACACCAAATGCTCAATGGAGGCTCTATATCCGAGACCTATAAATAGAAGAGGACATGTATACACCAAATGCGCAATGGAGGCTCTATATCCAAGACCTATAAATAGAAGAGGACATGTAAACACCAAATGCGCAATGGAGGCTCTATATCCAAGACCTATAAATAGGAGAGGACATGTATACACCAAATGCTCAATGGAGGCTCTATATCCAAGACCTATAAATAGAAGAGGATATGTATACACCAAATGCGCAATGGAGGCTCTATATCCAAGACCTATAAATAGGAGAGGACATGTATACACCAAATGCGCAATGGAGGCTCTATATCCAAGACCTATAAATAGAAGAGGACATGTAAACACCAAATGCGCAATGGAGGCTCTATATCCAAGACCTATAAATAGCAAAGGACATGTATACACCAAATGCTCAATGGAGGCTCTATATCCCAGATCTATAAATAGCAAAGGACATGTATACACCAAATGCTCAATGGAGGCTCTATATCCAAGACCTATAAATAGCAAAGGACATGTATACACCAAATGCTCAATGGAGGCTCTATATCCAAGACCTATAAATAGAAGAGGACATGTAAACACCAAATGCGCAATGGAGGCTCTATATCCAAGACCTATAAATAGGAGAGGACATGTATACACCAAATGCTCAATGGAGGCTCTATATCCAAGACCTATAAATAGAAGAGGACATGTATACACCAAATGCGCAATGGAGGCTCTATATCCAAGACCTATAAATAGGAGAGGACATGTATACACCAAATGCGCAATGGAGGCTCTATATCCAAGACCTATAAATAGGAGAGGACATGTATACACCAAATGCTCAATGGAGGCTCTATCTCCAAGACCTATAAATAGAAGAGGACATGTACGAGTATACACCAAATGTTCAATGGGGGCTCTGTATCCCAGACCTATAAATAGAGGAAATCTGTATATATGAACACCTCTATAATCTGAAAAGCCCTCAATAATAACAATTTTCTTATCTCCCACTAAAACCATGTGAAATGTGAACACCTGCTAATTTTAACACTTTAGGCCGAATCCAGTAGTGTTCAAGAATATGATTAAAATATCAGAGGAACGTGCTGTGCTACAATGTGATATCTGCACGAGAGAAAATGTCAGAGGAACGTGCTGTGCTAAAATGTGTGAACTGAGTTGATATTCTTCCTGTTCAACAAACCATATATGGAGGCTCAATATTCAAAGCATATATGTAAATAAAACTATGTATCTATTAACACAAGATAAGCACTTAATATGATATATTCATCCACACTGATGTCAGTTGCAAATGAAGAAATAACACTATTTAGCAAATTGTAAAAGAAAACTGACCGGAACTGTCAAACCATATATGGAGGCTTAATATCCAAAGCATATATGTAAATAATTATAGGATATCCTATGATTTTGAGGAATATTTTTTATCTACAAGGTGATATTGATATCTGCACGAGAGAAAATGTCAGAGGAACGTGCTGTGCTAAAATGTGTGAACTGAGTTGATATTCTTCCTGTTCAACAAACCATATATGGAGGCTCAATATCCAAAGCATATATGTAAATAAAACGATATATCTATTAACACAAGAGGAGCACACAACATGATACACTGGTGTCAGTTGCCTATTTATAGTACAGGCTAAGTACATTCCAGTGAGGCCTCTTTCTATGACATACCCCCGCACCCGGTATAACAAGACGTATGTGGTACCATTTTGTTCGGTATGATGTGAAGATTTCAGAAACCAATTTTGACATTTTCAAATATGGGTCGGATTCCAGATAATTAGCATAATGTTACATAATTTATTGTTTTCTATGTTTTATATTTTCAAGGTTTAAAACAGCTATGGTTAGGTACTTATCAAAGTATAACAACAGATAATGGTGGTAATGCTTTCAGAAAAAATTGATGACAAAATTTTAAGAAATTTAAAATCAATATTAATCATAATTATGTAATTATTATGTAATAATGTTAAAAAATTTGAAATTAGACGTTGCAAGACACGCTTTAATGCAATAAACTGGTTAAACTTCACCAAATACAAAAAATGAATAAAAAGGATGTGATAGCACAATTTTATTTCCACAATAACATAATTAATATGAGGATATAATATTATGTAATATATACAGACTTATAGATTTTCAGTTTCTGTTTGCCATACAGTAACTGTTTTATCAGAGTCACTATGCAGAACTTATGGCCATCTAGATAGGATGGTCTTGCTGAATGCATTCAACAAAAGGTTATGTGTAGCTAGTTTATTCAATACTTTGTTATCCCACCAAACAAAGCTGGAGGGATATAGAAAAGCCACCCGTCTGTCCGTAAGTATGTTTGGGTGATTACTTAAATACCGATTGACATATTTGATTCAAATTTTATAGGCTTATGCCTTATGGATGTAGGACCTCTGCTGGAGAAGGAATTATCAATATGACTGCTCAATTTAAAATGTCCACCATTTGTGTAAAAATACAAAAAATCTCAGTGGTATTGAGAAACCTGCCGATGATGGAAATGCTGGTTTTATTAGTGGATGCTGCAATCCATAACTTTGATCAAATCGAAGACACTATTGATGGGAAGGGATCAACACATCCTATGGCCATGGTCTTGTATAAACGATCAGAAAATAATAATGATAACAAGGAGCAGAACAGAAAAAACAAGACTTCTCTGGAAGACACAGATATATGTAACTATGAAAACCAAAGGTTGATGAGTTAAACCAAAAGTGACACCAACACCGAATCCCATTTCATCAAAAGAAAATATAGAAATGATGACAAAGTCCAGTTCATACCACAGTACAATCAAATCTGACCTGATGTGGAGACTTGTGAGCCATATGAGACAATCAGAAGGCCGAAAGAAGGCCATTTACAGGATGGTAAAAAAAACTTACACCATTTTTCTCATATCTTTGTCATTTTAAGAACTGATATTTTACACATTTGTACATAATTCAATTTCCTACCAGCCCACTATATTTCATGACCATCAGATTGATAGTCACAATGTTACAGCACTTTAAAGAACATGCCCCAGTGGCCACTATTGTGCTGTCAGCAAACCTGCACATGTAGTCCAAAATGTCTCTACTTGTGGGGAAACGGCAACGATAAAGTGTATGAGAATGACCTCAGGACAATTGCAGACCTCAAAAGTAAGATCATTAGTGTCATTCAGGCCATATCTGCTGAAGAATGTATTTGGATCATTGACAACTGTGCAGGTTTGACAACAGCGTGATAATGCCCAAACCTGAAGCATGTTGTTTAAAGTGCTGTTGTATGATAGTGAATGATGTACAAATGTGTGAAATATGAGAGAGTAATATTTTAAAATGACAAAGATATGAGGAAAATGCAAGGTTTCCATTTTTTGACCACCCTGTACAACAAAGCACAAAAGAACCATCTCGTGTATAGAATATGACAATGAGTTGGAAATATGCACTTGACAGCAACCCTAGCCTTATTTCCAGGATTGTTTTTTTTTTTTTATTAAGTTATTCATTTGTACAAAGAATACAATACAAAAATACAGTGTCTGAGTGGCTGTGCTTTTAGCATTTTTAGCCACGTCCAGGATTGTTAAATTGTATAGTGAATCGAGATGGCAAGTGAAGCATGTTTCTGGCTGATGTTTAAGTCTGCAGAAGATTTTTGTTAAAATCTGTAAGAAAACCAGGTCTATCAGGGAGGTGGTAAAGTCACATTGTCACATCGCCAGCGACTATGCAGAATCTGTTAGAAATCTGTACATTCAACACAAAAACCTCATGAAGAATGCCAACCAAAGCGAGTCGAAAAGGATGAAGATGATGTGCGCAAGATATGTAGTCTTGTAGGTCCAAATTATAGATGGTGTCTTAGGAATGGTAAAATAAGGCAAATCTTGCTAATTTGAAAAAAGTGATGAATCAATCATCTTAGCTGGACGTTTTCAAAAAAGGGTGAAGGCTAATGACCATAACAACACCTGGATCTTACAGTGCAGAGTAAGAGAGTATACATGGAAGCATGTCTTGATGAGGCAGATACTCTAATGAATTACCATGCAATACAAAGGTCAAAGACAGCTAAGTAAGAATAAGAGAAATAGTTCGATGCAGTGATGCTGATGCGTTGGTCATGTTTTTGTACTACTACCACACAGTTCTTTACATCGTCACATGAGATATTCATGCACGGTGGCCATGGGTCAAAGCGGCGCATCATCAATTCACAGAATATGAGAAAACTTGGTGAAAAGTTTTGCAAATCATTATCAGCAGCTCACGCCCTTATAGGATGTGACACTACCTGTTCATTTGCTAAAATTGGGGATATATTACACAAAATTAATCAAGAACATTGAGCACCTCGGCAATTTATGCAAGCTTGGATCAGATGAGCATCTACAATGTGAGAGCCATGTAGATGACAAGAAGACGATGACATTGGATGACCTATGCTTTATTTTGGCATCCACAACTGACAAGCCTGCATCTGCAATGCTACTAACAAAAGATGCTTTAAACAACATCTTCTACCAGCACATCTCCAATGTCAAATCTGGACAAAGTGCTCACACAGCAAAGCCCAAACTTTGGAAACCAGAAGGCAACGAATGCTACTTTATTGATGGAAGTCTGGTTCCTAAGATGATTTTGAGAGCATCCGTTCCCATTGAATTAAGGCATCTTACCCAAATCTATTTTAAAGATGGATTTCACACTAATCAGGCTTGTAGATGCCTACTTGCAGGATTGTTGCGCATGTCTATCTGTTCCCGTGAGGTGGGTATTTGCCAAAACACATTATAATGGTTGAGGAAAAACCATATCCAGATGTTTAGAATAAAGATGTTTGAAATAATCATATCATCATATTATATAATGATTCTATTGAAAGATGTAAGCCCTTATATGTAAAAATTGATATTTATCATGTTTAAAATGATCATAACAGTTACCTGATTTTTATATGCATGAATATTTGGATAAGTATATCTGATTAAATATTTAATGATATTATCATTGTGTCTTAATACACCATTCAAGTACTGTTATTTGCTGCTACATATGCATGGCATATATTGTTTACAATGAGATTAAGTCTTTTTTATAAAGGTTTGTACTCATAATAAGATATTATTGCTTGAATTGGTTTAGCACATGACGTTTATATCATTTAGAACAAAAATTCTGTTATCTTAAAAATGAAAACAATTCAAATTGTAATTTTACTCATACAACAATGGAAATTATGTAATAATTACATAATTCTAAGTCCAAAGTATTTTTGATAATTATCAAAATTTATTTTAAAGTATATACACAATTAATATTTGTTTAGCTCATGATTTCTTTTCATTATTTCCTTTAAAAATGCTTTACAAAAAATGCTATGTCATAATAATAGATTACATAACATTATGTCATATTTATAGAATCTGACCCATATTTCAATCTGTCAAAATTGGTTTTTGTAATGTACTCAGCAAGACGAACAATTTGATACCCATGACGACTTGTTATACTGGGTGCGGGGGTCAAGTTGATATTTGGCTCATAGGTAGCCTGCACTATTACATAAAGCAACTATTTGGCAAATTGTAAAAGAAAACTGTCAGAAATTGTCAAATATATGTTTGAATCATATAAAAATAAATGTAATCATCAATGAAAGAAATTATGAAATCTGCCTGGAATATTCCAGGAACCTACCAATGAAGAGGGTAAGATCTTCCCATAGTGCATTGTGATCTTTGAAGGGAACTCTGGTTATGGTCCTCATGTGGATGAACCAAACACTCTCTAACTGGCCATGTTCTTTCATCAGATGTCTCTTCAGTTCATCCTGGTTGTCAGACTTGAACTTACAGCGTCTAAAAACATCATTATATGTTTGTTAAAACAGACATAAAACAAGGCATTAACATGCAGAATCATGTCACCACCTGCCATTTGTTGCAGAAGACAGATGCAGAAAAGCAACTGCTGTTACAAAATGTTGGGAATATAACAATATGTCATAATAATTAAAGGACTACATGTACTTTATTCAAGACCTGGTCTGGGGACTCTGAGTGTCACAATTATCAACCCTGACTTACTTCAGAACTCCAATAAACCCTTTATTTTGATACACACACCTATCAATAATGCAGAATGTTTTACCTCCTATTGGACTCCGATGGGTAAAATTAATCTAAATACAGCTATGCCCCATAGAGAGCAGTTGGCTTCCCCAATATCAAATTCAGATTATGCTTTTTTTTAGAAACTCAAGTGAGGCAAATCAACATTTAGGAGGGGACATGTCACCCCATTCTCCATACAATTAGGAGGGGACATGTCACCCCATTCTCCATACAATTAGGAGGGGACAGGTCACCCCATTCTCCATACCATTAGGAGGGGCCATGCCACTCCATTATCTAAAACTGCCACATACCTTGTGTTGAAGTCACAATGGAATGGCGTCTGGTTGTAATGGCTGAAGGAATGGACATCTACTTGTCCAGCAGGTATATGTTTCTCACATATAGTACATTTAATGTGGTCTACATCATTTGCCTCTACATTTGCTCCTTCTTCCTCATCCTTCTTTAGTCCACCTTAAAATAATAATTAAACAGGATAAGCAAATAAAGAGAAAAAGTTAAGTTATTGTAAATTAGATTTTTAACATGGAAATAGTAGCAAGATTCCTACAAACAACAGAGGACTTTTTTATATGTGTCTCCAACAAAAGATTTTGTTCACTATGTCTGTCTTTGGAGGCTATATGAAACACTTAATAGGCTATATGTATAATTCGACATCTATTCAAACATCTAGTCAATTTACTAGTAAGTAACGAACTACTGCTGCAAATGAAACCCCTGTAATAACATTAATATAGGAGTCATAAGAACAAAGCATCATGCATGTACACATATTGGTCATCAATCATCATACTTGCATTACACAAATTTAAACTTATGATCACTTTCAATAGCCTGTTTTGAGAGGATATAAGTATATGGAGTTGTAAATAGTATAAAGGATAATCCAAGTTAACAGTTATGGTATAACATATGCTACTAAAAATCAAAGTGTGAGACACTTACCAAAGTAAGATTTCTTCACTGTGTCCCAAAGAAGTGTTGTTTCATCAAACGCTGGTGTATATTCAATAGAAGACATTTTACAAGCTGGCTCTTCCAGATGGAGAAGTCCATCCTCCCAGTTAACAAAGGCTGTTCCACACTCCTTACACACAAAGTGTTTATAGTCCATGTGTTCCCTTAAGTGTTGTATCAACTGAGAGAGGTCTTCTGGGTCAAATTTGTCACACAAGAAGCAGAGGAATGGATAGTTGTCCCGTTTAACTTTGGTTGCATGTTTCTTGGTTATTCTGCTTCTAGGTCCGGGAGTTGTTTTGGGGTCCTCAACACTAGCAGTTATGTTTTCTTTAGTTCGATCAAAGCTAGGATTTCTCTTCATAATTGTTTTGCTTTTTGGACCAGGTTTTTGTCTATGGTTATTTGAACCTGCTAATCCTTCCCTCAAAGTCAAGTTACTTTTGTCAGAGTCTTCATTTGTGACACCCACTTCATCATCTGAGCTGCCATATACTACCCTTAGCTTTTTCCGGCTTTTGGACACAGATATATTGGCAGATTCTTCAAGCTCAGTTCTGTTTCTCTCTTCATTACCACTTTCATCAGTATCATCACTACTTACTACTCGCTTTTTGGTTGTTTTACTTTTAGGGCCAGGTCGGATTGGCTTGAGTTTCTCAACATGAGCAGATTCACTGTTGGACATATCATTTCCATCACCAATACTTTCATCTGAATCAGTATTATTTCCATCACCAATATTTTCATCCGAATCAGTATCATCAGATATTACAAGCTTTTTTGCCATCTTACTTTTAGGCCCAGGTCGATATGTCCTGCGCTTAAAACTAGTCGATTCTATGGTTTCAGGCTTATCATTTTCATCAGTATCACTGTCATCAAGTATGTACTCTTTACTTTTTATTTTTTTAGATGATTTAACACTAGGCCTAGGACGGTCTTCACCACTATCTGACTTTTTAGATGTTATAGTTTCAATTTCACTATCATCACTATCGCTGTCATCATCTGATGTGTCATCATCTGATGTATCATCATCTGATGTGTCATCACTTACAACAGGCCTCTTGGTTGTTTTACTTTTAGGACCAGGTTTGTTTGGATGGAAGTCTCTCTTAGTAGAAGATTCGTTGACATCGATCCTAGCTTTTTTACAAGTACTGCTTCTATCACTCTTTATTTCACTGTCATCATCTGATGATGAAGAGGACGATATAAATGCCTTACTCTTGTATTTTTCTTGTGTTTTAAATCCACCTCCTATTTTTCTTTTCTTCCCAATTTGATCAATTTTCTCAAGTTTAATTTGAGCTGGTCTTGGCTCAGAATCCACTTCATTGTTATCATCCACTGTATCGTCATTTGAGTCATCATCAGCTTCCATCTGGTTCTCATCTTCTGTAGCGTCATTACTCCCATTATCTACATGTTCTGCCTTAACATTGGCTTGTTTGGGTTGACCCAGCACAGGTGGGTCTGCACTACGCTGAGATTCCAGCTCAGTTTCAAGCTGTTCAAATGCAATAGAAATTTCACTGGAGATCATTGTCTCAATCATCTCATCTTTATCAACCTTGAACTTCCCTTTCCGGCCAGGATGTGCAATATTATGATGTACAACAATATCAGATTGAGTTGTCCCAGAGAAGCTACAAATCTGACACTTGTATGGCTTGTATCCAAAATGGGTTTTCATGTGGGACTCCAAGAGTGCCTTATTTCCTATCTTACAACTACACCTAGGACATGGTATAGGTTGTGTCATGCTAACTGGGTCTTTCTTTTGTCTCTTACACGGCAAATTCAGGGATTCCAAACTTTGGGCTCTTTTCCTTGATCTTTTCATATGTATACATATTTTCTTTGCTGGTGTACCCTCTTTCAACAGTTTCTCTAAGTAGGTAAGCCTCTTCACCTTCAGTGTTGGCAGAAATGGAAGACTAACTTTTGGGGCATCCAGCAACTCCTGTTCTAACCAGACAGGGTTACCCACTAACAACACTCCTTGCTTTTCCTGAAGCAATCTTCCTTTTTTAGGGAATGGTATATCAACAGATTGTACATTCTGTGGTTTACCATGCTTTGATGAGGTATGCCTAATTAGATCATCCATCGATTGAAATTCTGAAGCACAGCGGGAACATTTCACAATATTGTCACCCAAGTGATCTATTTGTATGTGCTTATACACAGAAACTTCGGCTGTGTCTGAGAAATCGCAGAGGATACATTTGTACACACTGCCTGTTTTTTTCTCGAAGAGTGAACCTTCTAATTTTGTCATTTTTGTTGATGGTTCTAAGTTTTCCACCTGCCTATTTCCACCGTGTTGTCTTTCTAATTGTTTTATTTTGCCTGGGTCTACAGGAATATAGTACAGTATTCCATCACTAAAATTAAATGTCAACTTCGGGTAGTTCTTTGTGATTGTCGCCTCATGTTTGGTTTGATGCTCATTTTTATAATGCAGCACATTTTGTTCTTTTTCCCTTTGCATTTTATGGCATATTGTACACTTGTATCTCAATATCTTCATATGAACTGTGTATAAATGGTGCTTGACCTTTTCCTTTGCAGATGTAAAGTCTTTACAAACCCCACATCCAAATGTACTTACTTTGAAGTCACGTAGAGGATTAACATTTTCTTTAGAAATAGCAGAAGATTCACCTTTTTGCATGTCACAGATATCTTTAGGGTTAGCAGCATAGAAGAAAATTTTTGCTCCTTTCACCTTAGAAGTCAATTCAGGCAAATCAACAATTTTTGTCGGATTATCAAGAATCAATTTGTGACAAGCTTTATAGTGTAGAACGTTTTCCTCTTTGTTACAATGCATCTCAGAGCATATATAGCATGTATACCTTGACAGTTTCATGTGTGTTTCATATATATGCTGCTTAACCAATTTCTGATTGTCTCTTTCAAAGTCATTACAGATTCCACATGCGGACGTCAAGCTATATGAATGCTTCTCATCAACCTCTACCAACACTGTGTCTCCTTCACTTTTAAAAGTTAAAATATCAGGGTATGGCTTAAATTTCAGGCTTTCCATTGTAATCTTCATGTCATGCTCTTTGGCATAATGCACAACTGCTTTGTCCCTTTCATGAAGCATTTTTGAGCATTTAGAGCATTTAAGACGACCAATGTTTAAATGGACCATAAAGAAATGCCTTTCTATATGACCTCTTCTTACAGTTTTGTAATCCTTACAAATCCCACATTCGTAGGATTTTACATGGTTCTCTTTTTCATCAGATACGATTTCCTGCTTTATAATAGTTGGTTTTGTTTGCTTTTTCTCACCATCATGTGATTTAGCTTTGGTTGTTTTAGTTTTGCTCCCATTAGAACCTTGACCTGGTTCATAGAAAAATAAAGTATTCCCTTTCACTTTTGTATCAAGTGTTGGCAGGTCTGTATATGATGCAATGGCATTTTTCACATTATGTTCACTGGAATAATAATCGAGACTCTGTCTTAGTTCTCGAAACATTTTTCTACATATAGTGCAAGTGTACTTAAACAGTTTCATATGAACATAGTACACATGCCTAACTACAAGATTTCTGACATCCCTATTAAAGTCACATATTCCACATTGGAAGTTGTGCAATGACTGATCTTGTTCTGTTGGCTCATCATCACAAGATGTATCAGATTCTTCAGCTTCTCCTTTTGATGTTTCTTCTGGTATTGCAAATGATTTTGGTGGATAAATCGTCATTGTTGTGTCTTTAACCTCAGTATATAACTCGGGTCTCTCTTCAATGATATCAGTCAGTTTTTTCTTTGAATGATTTTCTTTGTGATGTTCAACAAGGGCCTGCCTTTCCCTGAATGATGATGTGCAATGTTTGCATGTGTTGCGATGCATTCTCATATGTACCTCATAAACATGCCGTTTCACAATGCCCTTTTCATCTCTAGTTAGATCACATAATCCACATTTGTAGCTTGAGACAACTTCAGCGTCTTCATGTTCAGACTCAACATCCGACTTAGCCTCCATTTGAATCCTCTTCTTCTCCACCTTCTCAAGATGATTTTTCATTTTGGTCTCTATCCATGCTTTGTTTCCAATAATTACTGTACTACCTTTCTTTACTTTCTCTGACAAGGCCTTTGGATAAGCGCATCGTTCACATGCCGTCTTCTTGGTATGTCGCTGTTCATTATGGAATCTTGCAGCCCGATGTGTAGCAAATGTTTTTTTACAGGGGGCACATCTATACAATGGAAATTTCAAATGAGTTCTAGTTATATGATTGAGCACATTATGATAACGATCGGGGGAGGAATATTCACATACAGCGCACTTGTATTTTAGAACCTTTCCCAAAGGGGTTATTTTGGATATCTTTTCATTTGGTTTAACCGCACTTGATGCTCTATTTTCAACCATTCCATGTCTTTCCATTTTCTCCTTAATCCATTCATAATCTCCAACAACAATGATGCTTCCTTGTTTTTCAGTAATTTTAAGTTCTTTAGGAATTATGCAATGTATAATTGATGTTTTGGTTTTTCCACACATCTTTCTATGTTTCATTCCTGAGATACTTGAATTAAATGATTTCCTACATTTTGAGCATTTCAGCACAGGAATATTTGTATGGACGGCACATATGTGTCTTGTAACTTCATATGAGTGAGATGATGTCATACTACACATTACACATTTGTAAATTAGATCCTCTTTGGTAGCATCATCTTGTTGTGTAGTCTCATTGGTATTATCTGCTACAGGACTGTCGACTTGTTCTTCAATGAGGATGTTGGGCTCATCTTTAGCATTTTCCATAGTTTTCAGCTGTTCCACATAGGCTTCAGAATATTTTTCCATCCACTCCTTATTTCCAAATGAAAGATTACTTGGAACTTTGTTGATAGCTTGATCAGGCAATGTCACTTTGAAATATTTAGTTTTATCTTTGTGTATCTCCCTACAGTGAACCATTGCATCATGAGTGGTTTTAAATGACTGATCACAAAGTAAACAATGGTACAGGAGACAATTCATATGCTCAACAATCAAATGCCTTTCAAGATCCCTTGAACACAAATGCTGGCAAATTTCACAAGTATAACCTACTTTCTCACTTTTATCTTCATTATCATCTGTTGAGACATTTTTAGGTTCCTCATATTGTGATTGTTCCAGGAAGCTTTCAGACTGATCATCAGAATGCGGATATGCAGCAAAAATGCTTTTTGGCTGCATATCATCGCCCAGTTCTGTGTCACTGTCAACCTCACTCTTGATCTGTGTTGGGTTATCAGTTTGAGCTAGCTTAGCCATCTTTAGCTGCTTTAAATAACCATTAGCATGATTGGTTATCCAGTTTTTATTCCCTATTGTATACTGTGCTCCTTTTTGATGTTCTTTATTAATTGCCTCTTCTGGCAATGACACTTTGAGAAATAAAGAATCATCACTATGCTTACTTCTGCAATGATTCGTGGTATCTTCTTTATTTCCAAATGTCTCATAACACATCAAGCAGTGGTAAAGACAGGTTTTAACATGTTGGCTGATCAGATGTTTTTCGGGGTCTCTCAAAGAAGACTTTCCACATATAGTACACTTATACATAGGTTTCTCTTCAGTTTTCAAATATGTTTCGTCTGTACTATTAGTATTAGAAATGTTTTCTAATTCAGTTTCATCAGACTTGATTTCCTTAGACATGCTGGCATTCTTTTCTGATTGTTTCATTTTAAATGGATTTGCTTTGAATTTTATTTCTTTCATGAACTCAGGTATCTTTTCTGGAATAGGCTCATTTGTTATTACTGTCACACCATTTTCTTCTTCGAAGTATGTTTTAAAGTGCAATACGACATATTCTGCTTTGGATTGCTTACACTTCTGAGAAGACTTAATGTGAATGAGCCAACCATCTTTCCTATAAAAGCTTTTGCAACATTTGTTACATACAATAGGTCTAACTACTGGGAAAAGGTGCTTCAGTTGTATATGCTTTTGCACATCGCTTTTGTATATTGACTTATACTTACATTCTTTACAGACATATACCCTTTTCTTAGATTCGCTGTTTTGGGTTTTCAATTTAGGTTTGTTAAAAGGTTTGTTGAGTAGGGTAGCATCACCTATATATTCAACACCATCCATTTCATAAATTGAATGACTAATATCAGGGAGCTCTACAGATGTTATCCACTCATCAGCTTCTTTATACTTGTGAACTGATTTGCAATGGGCTATTGCCGAGTCTTCGTGGATGAACTTAGTATTGCACACTTTGCACTGGAAAGGAAAAATGTTCATATGTTTTGTAAAAACATGCATTTTTAACCTTTGTTTCCAAACATCAGTTTTGTCGCAAATTCCACAGAATATGAGCTTCTTCGTAGAATCCTGTTCACTTTCATTTGCTAATTTTGTGCTGTCTTCATTCAAGTGAGTCTTTTGCATTGCTTTGATTTCTTCTGGTTTTCCAACATAGTGATATCTTCCTTCAACCTTCTCAACATGAAATTTGGGAGGTGCTGCATTCTGGACAATCCACTTTAAACTCTTGTGAATATTCTTGCAGTGCTGCTTCGCTATTTTTGGGTTAATAAACTGTTTTCCACATTTATTGCACATGTATGGATAATAATTCAGATGAAGACGAAGAATATGTTTACGCACATCCCCTAAGCGATGCTTAGTCTCATATTTACATAAACAGCACCTATGTATCACATTATCATATTCACTGTCATCTGTAGATTCACCACTTTCTTGTTCGATCATATCAGAATCTGAGCTACTATCTTTGTTCATATTCTCATCAACAAACCTTCCAGTATCTTTCTTCAATATTGTGAACATTGTTGATTTAGTAGACTTGGAGAAAATGTCATCAGTATCAGCTGCACTCTTTTCACTAAGATTATCAATACTTGAATCAAGATCAACCTCTTTTTCATTAGTATTTTCATCAGTTTTCTTTGAGATATCATCTGTTCTGTTCGGCACAATATTTGTAGTTTTAGGTACATCTTCAAGATTCTCCGATGGCCAAATTTCTGCCATGTTTGCATCTGCCATTGAGAAACAGCTGGTTATAATTGGAACATTTTGTTCTTCTTCCTCAACTGGTTCCGTCTTAACGTCTATATCTTCTGACATCTGAGGTAAAATATGAGTTTCTTCACCAATAGGTGTCTGGTCAATAACAGGTTGGTTTATGTGACTAATTTGTCTTGCAACATTCTTTGATATGTCAGTTATACAACTATTTACAATAGCTTGAATAGAGGTCTCTACATCAATGGTACGTTTGCCATTTTCATTAATTTCATCTTTTCTAGTTTCGTCTTTATTCACACTTTCTACAGGGTCATCTTTGTCAGTTTGATGGTGTGATGTTTTTTCACCACCTTCTGAAATGGATATATCCCCTTCATTGTCACCCTTCTCTGTTTTAATAAACATGGCCTTGGCAGGAAGACCCAGGTGATTTGTATTATAATGACTTTTCATTTCAATCTTTTCCTTGCTTGCAAAATCACAGTATTTGCACTTGAAACTGTCACTTCCAACATCCTGAAAGATGCGAGATCCATCTTTCTTATCAGAGTGTAGAGTCTGATCAATTGACACAATAGGCAGTACACCATATTGTAAGCGCTGTTCACCTGTTTTTACTGTTACTGGCATCTTCTGCAAGGTTTGTGGGAGAGAAGGATGCCATTTTTGAGAATGTTCAAGAATACAGTTTTCAGATCCAGACTTGTACCCACAATATCCACAACTGAAACGCTTCATTGAACAGTGGTTGAAGTAAACATGTTGCCTTCTCTCCACTGCTGATTTATTATCAAGATTTTCAAGGGCACATTTATGTGACATGATATCCTCCAATGGGCAATCTATCAATTCAGTCTCATCAATGTCTACCGGCTCAGTTTCACATTGAGCAACACAACTGCTAATGGTTTGAGGTACAGTATTTTCAGGAATATCAAGAATGCTATCTTTTTGTGACACATTTCTAGAAGGTGAAGCAGAGCTTCTTGTTAGGTAGTTATGGTCAGTTGGCTTACTCTTATTTTGGACTGGATCACCAAATCGTTTTGTCAGAGCACCAAACGAATGACCAGTGTTGTCACCAATTAGCTGGGATTCTTCACTGCGCTCTACCAAATCTGCATCTTTTGAACTGGCTTTTGAACAAATTCCTTTGTTTGTCTTTCTCCGTTGCAATCCCAAATGACCTTGTTGCAAATGTCTAACAAGATTATGCCTAATTCTTGTTCTAAATGTACACTCTGAGCACTGAATATCCACTCTGAAAACATTCTCATTTGGTATCATGTAATCTCCATTTGGGGTCTTTGGGAGGACTCTTACCTCTACATTAGCATTTGATCTAATTAACATTGGAACTACCTCTTTCCAATCCTTTGGAAGTCTTTGAAGTCTCACTGAACATTGCTTTATCTTTGGAATTGTTTTCTTGATCACTGGTGAAGACACTCTGCGACTGAACTTTTTTACTTTTGATGTAAAAGTTTTGTGTCGCGATTTCTTACTTGGCACTTGTCTTTTCTCCAATGTCTCACTTGCGATTTCATCCTTATGAAACATAGCTATAGATGGAATCAACAAGACCCTTGGTGTTAAACCTTGGTGTTTAGCTTTCTGGTGTATTCTTGCCTTGAACACAGATGGAAACCTTTGGTTGCACAATGGACAGATAAATGGTAACAGGGCCTGACACTCATCAACATGAATGGCTTGTATATGGGTTTTGACAGGTTTTGGAGATGTGTTGTTGAATAAACAAAACTTGCAAAAATATCTGCGGACCTTTAACTGTTTCAGGGTTGCGGAGAATGATGCTTTTGAAGCTCTAGATGAATTTGAGGAAGTTGACTCTGCTTCATCATCTGAATTTTCGTAGTCTGAATGTTTTTCCTCATTTGCAGGTTCACTTAGTTCATTTGTTGTTTGTGTGTCTTCTCCAGTTTGAACTTTAATGTTTGAAGCTTCAAAGCATACAGATCCTGAGTTCACTGGTGAAACATGTGTTGAATCTTCCTGTATTGAATTATTGGCAGGGAATCTTTTCTTCTCTATGTTATTTTGTTTATTTTTATCTTCTGCATGGTAGGCTGTATGTAGAGAAAGTGTGTCAATACTGTGTGTTTTGAACTCACATTTTTCACACTTGTACTGCAAATCATCTTGGATTGGTTTCTTTGTCTCAGCCTGAGGCTCATCTCTAAGTTTTCCTTGCACTACGATCGAATCTATGGTAAGTGAGCCCAGTGATTTACCCCTAGGATGAAACTTGACTCTGTGCTTCAATACATCAAGTTTGTTTGGGGATCTGTATGTGCATAGCTTGCTGCACTTGTACAAAATCAGGATTTTTGTCCCTTTGTAATGAAACTGTACATGATTTTTGTAACTATCCATTGAGGAACACTTTAAATTACAGATGTTACATGCTATCTTAAAATCTATTTGTTTGTTTGGTCCTTCAATTGTTGAACTCTCATTCTTTTCATTTACAGTCTTCCCATGTTTGCAAGATGAAGAAAATTTGTAAAGACGATGACATCTGAAGCATTCCTGGTCTTGGTTGCGAAACACCTTGGTTTCCTTAGTAGGTAAGCTGCCTTTAAATCTTTCGTGTGCAGCACGACAATGCTTTACAACATTTTCCCTAAGTATACTAGAAAAATTGTTACACTTGCTACAGCTCCAAATGTCAATGGATGTCTCCCCACTATGCTGCAGGAAATGATAGAAAAATGAACCATATGTCTCATATCCTTGTGGGCACTTAGGACATGGGAATGACATGTGACTCCGATCACAAACCTGTTCATGAATTTCTAAATGTTTCACCATTTGTAATGTAGAGTAGGCATTATAGGGGCAAAATCCACATGAGTAAACCCTTTGTATGCTAGCATCTGGTTCTGATGATGGTAGACTCCATGGAAGTTTTTCCACTGTAGGAGTACATATTGACATGTGACCCTTTATGAGTGATGGGGAAGACTCCAGTGTTCCACAGGTTCCGCATTCATACATCAATCCATTAGGATTTGTCTTAGTCTTTTGACATTGTCTGTCATGTGTGTCCAAATCTTTCATTTTGACTTGCTGACCACATGCCTCACATGTTGCAGTTATACTTTCTTCAGACTGACACTTTTTGTGGTGAGTTTCTAAGTCAGTCATACTTAAATTCTGTCCACATTTTTGACAGCCAATGCCAACGCTTTCAGTGAAATCTATTTGAGCAGCAGCTTGGTCGGAATTCTTTGCACTTTGTTTTGATACTGATTTTTTGGCAAAAGACTCTGTATTTCTTGTTGTGGATTTTTTAGCGGTTGACAAAATTTTCTTGTATGTCATTAGCATTTTATTCCATTCTTTCTCCATAGCACATTTACCTGAAACTTCTTTTTTCTTAAGGTAAACTACACAACCAACATGCTTTTTGGCAATGTGTGCCTTCACTTGCATCAGACTACAATGTGTATGATTACACAAAGAACATACATACATCTTGTACCTGGATGCACTTATATGTTGGATCAAAGATGTAATACTACTGAAATTCTTGGAACAATCAGCACAAAAGAGATAGTTCTCATCAGAATGTTCTGAAAGTATATGTTGACGAAATTCTTCAGAGGATATGAATGTATTTCCCGGGCAGAATGAGCAAGCAAACAGAACTGATGACCAATTTGCTCTTCTGTGTTGGTCTATGTGATGCAGAAGTATATCAAGTGAAGGTGCAACGTTTGCGCAGTAACGACATTGGAATTTCGTATTATAACTATGCTCCAGCTTAACATGTCTTCTCAGACTACCTTCAGATTCACAAGCGGTCGAGCAAGATGGTACACAACAATTATAAAAATCCTTTGGCACAATTGTCACTTTGGAATGGTTAACAAGATGGGTAACAAGATATCTTGCATTATCAAATGACCTCTCACAATATAAACATGTATATGGACCTCTGTGACAGTTTCTCAGATGGCTCAGTAAAATGGAGCCATTAAGTGGATATGACTTCCCACAGTCTCGGCACTTATAGCTTGTATGCCATATAAGTTCAGTCATCGACATTGGGGTAGCCTCTTCAACAGTTACAGCCTCTGCTTGATTGATAGCTCCCTTTTGGCAGTCTGTAAAAAAATAAAAAAATAAATGATTTTGATATAGCATCACAATTTGATCAAACCATGAAAAGGATTTCATTTCCACCGCTTTAATTTTCTAAAAACAGGAAGAATTGATTGGCTAGTCAGAAAGTCTAATGAATATGAAAAAACAGCAAGAAACACCATCTACCTTTCTGTGACATGGAATTTGATTCAGAATCTTCAGTTCCCTTTTGCTTGGCAGCTACAGTTGAGGATGATGATGGGGTAACCAGTTCTTCATTCTGTGTGTTATCATCATTGGACTCACTTGCCTGGGTTTGTTCTAAAATTGCCAACAAGATTATCATATAGTTTCCTGGCATATTTAATCAGTTATGATTTTATTAAACTGATAATTAATTCTCATCTTCTTTTCAATTCATAGTTGTAACATGTGACAATAAATAGACTTTCACATAACTTGCTCAATAAGTTAAGCTCAAAATGTGTTTTGGAACCAGTTGCACTGTTTTCTCAGTGAGGAATTTTTGATTTTTTTCAGAAAAGAATGGTCTTGTCATGTCCAAGTCTATTGACTTTGTAAGTTATGTATCATTATTAATAAAATTAATTTTTGGGGTTTCTTATCATTGAAGAAAGAATTACAGCTATTATCTTTAACAATTTGAGAATAAGGAAATACTTCTATTCTACCTTTAACAAATTACTATTAACTTAAACAAATGATGACTTAAGTTGGCTTACATGTGCAAGTACAAGCATTTCATGTAAAATTGAAGAGGAGAAAATGTGAAATACCTTCAACATGTGGTGTCCAAATCTTAGCATTGACAGTTGGAGCACAGGCATCATCTGCATTGGACGTTGTGGAGTTAGTAACCTCAGGTTGTGGTTTTATGTTCTGCTTTTTCTTAGTCTTCTTGATACTTGCTGGATCAACTTGGCTCACCATCTGCTGTAGTCGTTTTACTGCAGAGTTCTGTTTCAATGATACAATCACATTCTCAACTAATCCACATTGCTGTCTCAAATTTACTGGTCCCTCTTCGCGATGCACATTGCAACTTGAACAAACCATGTTAACAACATGTATATGACCCCAAAGATGTGGCCTAAAGTTCTTCTCAGTTTTGTATCGTAGTTTGCAAGTCAAGCAATGGAATAAACCATTTATGAATTGAAATCGAACATATCTGTTTGGATTTGCGTCAGACACTGTAGCTTGGGATACATTTTTTGTTTTCTCAATTTCTTTGATTTCATCATCTGAAACCTCAACGATATCTATCTCTTTGTTTTCTTGTGAAATTTCAACAATGTCCTCATCTTTATCATCAGTTTCTTTCACATCAAAGTCATGCTCATCTGCAATATTCTCATCAAAAATAAGAGAAGGATCAATTGCCTCTTCCTCTTCTCCAGCTGAAGGTTGATTTTCTACTTTCTCTACTTCACAGACATCAGGAACATTAATAGTCGAAGCATCTGGTGTTTTTGCATCTTGATCTATTTGACTAGTTTTTGCAGGTGAAGCAGAGGTCTTGGATCCCGATAATATGTTCTTCTGTAGATTTGTGGTTGTTTTCTTACGTGTCATTCTCCAAAGATCCACCAAAATATCCAACATTTCAAATTTGTCCATTTTCAATATGCTGACTTTTTGCCCTTTATGTTCGTTTAAATGATGTGTTTCAACCACTTTATATGTACGACCAGTAAATGCACATTTTGAACACTTCATGAGTAGAATATTGTCATGCCAATCTAGATGCTGAATGAAAAATTGTCTGTTTACAGTTTTCAAACTACAAGCATCACAACTGTAAGCTTCTCCATTGAAACTAAATTGCAAGTTGTCCATCGCAGATCCCCGTCTCATGGCATGAGGTTGCATGGAGGTTGGGGCCTGTGCTAGATTAAAATTTTTCCTTGCAAGATGTCCATTTAGATGTTTCTGAAATGATTTAGCAGATACTGAGATAAATTTACAGTGTGGACAGCAGTATTTGTAGTTGTTGAGACAACATCCTGGCATTTTGTCAATGCGGTGTTCGACTACAAAATGACTTAAATAATGACATTTTGAGACATAGTCAAACTTGCAAAGAGGACAAGTGCCATTAATATCAAAATCATCCCAAGTGACCTCTGTAACGCCAGGGTTTATGTAAGTGTAGTCAGCGATTGATTCATAGTAAGGTAACATGACATCAAAGTTATCTGTACCTTTCAACATTCTCATTTGAATGTCTTTTTCTTTTGATTGGTCAGATAGCTGTAACCCTGGAAACCTGAATAATAACCCAGGTTTTGGCTTAGCTACATACTCTACAACCGAGTGTTGCTGGAATATCATATGCATGGACATCTGCTCTAATGAACCTGTAGAAAATCTGCAGAGTGTGCAATAGTACAAAGTGGAGGCTGGTGCAAATTGCTGTTTACCTGTGTTTTGTATTCGAAATAACTTCTTATAAAGGGCTACTGCTTCTTTTCTTCCATGGCACCTGTCCATGTGATCAAACAAATCCTTAGAACACGTGCTTGTGTTGACTTTGCATATATGACAAGTAAGTCCAGATTGGGATAAGCTTGCATCCGATTGAGGAAACTTCACATCAAAGATGGCATCTATATATTTCATTTTTTCCCATTGTGTCAGGTGACATGTCGAAAAGTGTGCAATGAGGTGGACCTTTGAGTCAACTAGTACTTGGCAATCTTTAGAAGGACAGCCAACTTTGAGTACCTCAGCATTGCTACAGGAAAGGCGACTCTCTTTGTTATATAAATCCACAGCCCTGAATAAGGTTTCACTTGCAAAACAAGTGTGCTCAATCGTATAGTGTTTAGCCATATCTTCATAATTGTGAAGATTTAATCCACAGATTCTGCATCTGCTCAGAAAGTCATATGCAGTGTTAAGGGAAACTATAGCTTTGAATTGCAGCTGACATGTTGTGCTATGGTCCAAATGTTCACTAGCACTCTGAAAGAGAGATAAGCAGATAGGGCATTTATAGCCCAGAATTTTCACTGTTGTTAATCCAATTGTATTTATTGCTACAGTCCCTGTGATCGAATCCTGTGATGGCATGTCTTCAAGTAATGCATCACCAGGGGTTTTCGTTGCTTCGTTCAGTTCAGTCGAACAGGCAACACTCTTAGGTGTTCCAGTCACTGAGGTATCATTTGTACATTGATGACTTGCCATGTGATGTTTAAATAAACATTCACGCTTTTCCCGATCAATTTCTGAGGGAACTGAGAATGAACAAATGCTACAACCTATGTTACGAAGGAAATTTTCAATCGATTCATGTGCAAATGTAAGATGACTGGAAAAGTGCATGAATGATACATATGTGAAATTGCACAGTGGACAAACTCCAATTTTGGTAGTTTCGGTAGGTGGCTTAGAAGGCAACACAACTTTATCAGCATTGTAGTAAGGTACAAGAATTTTAAATTCTTTCACTTTGTTTGCAAATATGGCGCACAATTTATCACGCTTTGTAAGATTAGAGAATCTGATATCTGGGATTTCAATTTGCAGTCTCTGATTTGGAGCTTCACTATAGCTCACTGCATTATGCTGCTTGAACATCACATGCATCTGCAACTGATCTAACAAGTCTGTTGAAAATCGGCATTTTAGACAATAATATAATGGCTTACTGAATGGTCCCTTGAAATCTTTTGTTGCTCTGAATGAACCATAAAAATAATCTGCATTCATTCTCCCATGTTTTCTGTCAATGTGATCGAACATTTCCTTGCAGGATGTTGTGGCAAATGTGCAATCATGTCCATACCAATTACATTCTATATTCCGGTAACTACTCCAGAGTGGAAACTTTGCCACACATGTTGTGTTCGCCATGCACCTGTTCATTTGAACATTGTGAACATTGAAATGACCAATGAGCTCCCCTTCACTTCTAGCAGACACAAGACAACCATCGTGAGGACACATAATTGCAATGTTCCGATAACTTTCTGCAAGAATTTTGAAAAACAAGCCAGTAGCAACAGCACTGTGCTCCAACTCGATATGAGCAGACATGTGATCATAGTTATGTAACTGAAGACCACAAATTCTACATTGGCCCAATATCTTAATTGCCTCTTCAAAGGAAACGTTATCATGAGCTGCTTTTATGTGGGTGACTAGTCCTTTCTGTGATATGCTTTCGGCCTGACATAAGGGACATATAAATAGTGTCACCACAGCTTTATTCCCCTGGCCTGATCTTGAGGAATTACGGATCAACTGGCTAATCTTCTGGCCTGATCTTGGAGAATTACAGATTGACTGACCAATCCCCTGGCTTGATCTTGGGGAAATAAGGACTGACTGGTCAATCCCCTGACCTGGTCTTGGGGTATTAAGGACTGACTGGCCAATTCCCTGACCTGGTCTTGGGGTATTAAGGACTGACTGGCCAATCCCCTGACCTGATCTTGGGGAATTAATGATTGACTGAGTAAATGCCTGGCCTGATCCAGGGGAGGCATTCACTATGAGAACTGATTGAGGATTTGGCACATTTTGTTGTGGCTTCACAGAGGTAGCTCCTTGAATTACAAATGGTGAATTGTTCACTATGGGTACAACCTGTCCAACCGTTGATTGATTACTTGTTAACCCTTGCATTACAATATTGGGAGCAAGGATATACTGATTTATAACAAGCTGAGGCTGGATAACACTTGAATTAGCACATGTTGTAGGTGTAGGATTAAGTGTTTGCAACTGTTCAGAACCTCTGCTGGAAGACCCTATTTCAGCAGGTGCAAGAGGTAGCTTCCCCGTTGAGTTATTTACAGAGTTCACATCATCTATAGCAGCATTAACACTTGCAGATTTTATATCATCCATAGATTTATACAACTCCTGTAGCAGATCTTTGTCATTTACTGCATCTTTTCCACTGCTATTTTCTGGAATGCCGACTATAGGAACATCATCTGGATGGATATCTTCTCCAGCACTCCTTGTACTTATGTTATCTGTATCAGAATGATTGTTTTGGTTGTTATCAGGTTCACCTCCATTAAGAACCACATCATTCCCATCTTCACACACTTCATCAATTTCCAGTTTGATAGCCTCTGTATCACTGGGATATTCCTCTACAGCAAACTCCACTGAGGTCGATATATCACCCTCAACTTTAACAGAGACATCACTTTCTTTTACATCTTTGTCATGAGAAATGGTTTTTGGATCCACATTCTCATGTTCATGGTTATGGTCATGGCTTTCTTCATTGGTTGTTTGCGGTTCATCAATTTGTCTTCCATAGCTCAGTTCAACATCGTCACTGTATGATCGCCCTATAAGGTAATATTTGTCATAGACTAGGATGTTAAACTTTTCATTTTTGTACAAGACTGGAATGATGTAAATATAATGCCACATTCAAATTTCTTCTTAAAACTTCAACACCATGTAGTTTAAATCATAAATTACTTCATCACAAGTATGTTTTAGGAGGCAAGGTATTGACAATTTACACTTGGGTTTGAATGTGTTATGCTACACCAAGTACATACAAAATAAAGGTGGAATAAATTGCGCTAAAACTATTTTAACCATTGACCCTGCTAGATTCTAAATTAAGAAATGCAAATTCAAAAAAATTTTGGGGAGCATGCCCCAAATTCATATACTGCTTTCCCATAATGGTAATACTGTCAGAAAAGATGGTTAAAAATATGTTGAAGACACTATGGCCGACATTGAACTCCGAAAAACTTAAATTGAAGATGACAATTAATTATACCACACAGACAGAATCACATATCCATGACAGACTTGTTTTTTCAGACTTGTTTTCCCATGAGGCAAATGTGCTTAAATTTTTTGTTTCCCCAGTAGGTCAAAATTGAAGATCTGAACATAATATATATGAAATACATTATAGAAGAAGGGGACACTAAAATCCAGGGCTTAAACTAGAAGCTTCAATAACACTATTTAGATGTAGATTTTGACTTTCAAGGTGTCATGCTTTATTGAACACATTTTCTGTTACTTTGTCTCCGAACACTTTTATTTTGCCTGACTCTTTATTATACAGTAAGGGATATTGTCCAATTATCAGCACTTCAACTTTATAAGTGAATAGTGTTTCTTCTTTAAAATATTCAAGTGAAAGACAAATCAACATTTTAAAATTTTGTTAGATGAGGGGGTGGCATCCTCCAATCACAGGGCTTCAAACTCCAGAATACATTCTTTCCTTTTACCCCCTGCAATAAGCAGTTAGCATTTCCCCCATTAAGAACTGGTAATCTGATTCGCTGTCGCAACACTGCGACATAAATCATAGTGTCATTCCGCATAATTAGATCACGTGATTCAGTTTAAGCAGGTGCTTCCAAATTGGTTATAGCAGGGGGAAGAAGGGGGTAAAGATTCTGGATACCTGCTTAGGAAGATGAGGGGGACAAACCATAACGAAATTAACTTCATTAATCCACAACTGTTGATAATTTGACACAACGCCTAATGACTATATACATGTTGTATTGGAAAGGAGAGTACAGGATGTAAATCCCACATTGATAAAATGTACTTTCATGGCTCGAGATGGGGTGTAGATCTCACATTGATAAAATGTCCTTTTATGCAGGCCTGTCAACTGTCCCGCAATTTGCATATTTGTCACGCATTTGCTGAAGAATTTGAAATACGCATTTTACCTGGTAATTGTCAAGCAAAAATATTTCTGTAGAAAAATTTCTAAAAAAGATCGTCTACACAGAAAAAATATGAACGCTGGAAAAAAAATGTACGCATTTCGTTCGGACTTTTCACGCGAATTACGTATATGTAACGCATTCCGATCGAGAAATTTGAGGTGTTCAAAATTTGGCAAGATGTAATAAAATTTAAACCAAGGTGTTTCAAATTTGGATCAAGGTGTTCAGATTTGGACCAAGGTGTCCACATTTTGAGGGGAGGTGTTCAACATTTCCAAGTCACTCATGTTAGGTGTTCCCAAGTTGACAGGCCTGTTTTATGGCTCGAGATGGGGTGTAGATCCCACATTGGTAAAATGTACTTTTATGGCTCGAGATGGGGTGTAAATCCCACATTGATAAAATGTACTTTCAATGGCTCGAGATGGGGTGTAGATCCCACATTAATAAAACATACTTTTATGGCTCGAGATGGGGTGTAGATCCCACATTGATAAAATGTACTTTTATGGTTCAAGATGGGGTGTAGATCCCACATAGATAAAATGTACTTTTATGGCTCGAGATGGGGTGTAGATCCCACATTGATCAAATGTACTTTTATGGCTCGAGATGGGGTGTAGATCCCACATTGATAAAATGTACTTTTATGGCTTGAGATGGGGTGTAGATCCCACATTGATAAAATGTACTTTTATGGCTCGAGATGGGGTGTAGATCCCACATTGATAAAATGTACTTTTATGGCTTGAGATGGGGTGTACATCCCACATTGATAAAATGTACTTTTATGGCTCGAGATGGGGTGTAGATCCCACATTGATAAAATGTACTTTTATGGCTCGAGATGGGGTGTAGATCCCACATTGATCAAATGTACTTTTATGGTTCAAGATGGGGTGTAGATCCCACATAGATAAAATGTACTTTTATGGCTCGAGATGGGGTGTAGATCCCACATTGATAAAATGTACTTTTATGGCTCGAGATGGGGTGTAGATCCCACATTGATAAAATGTACTTTTATGGCTCGAGATGGGGTGTAGATCCCACATTGATAAAATGTACTTTATGGCTCGAGATGGGGTGTAGATCCCACATTGATAAAATGTACTTTTATGGCTCGAGATGGGGTGTAGATCCCACATTGATAAAATGTGCTTTTATGGCTTGAGATGGGGTGTAGATCCCACATTGATAAAATGTACTTTTATGGCTTGAGATGGGGTGTAGATCCCACATTGATAAAATGTACTTTTATGGCTCGAGATGGGGTGTAGATCCCACATTGATAAAATGTACTTTTATGGCTCGAGATGGGGTGTAGATCCCACATTGATAAAATGTACTTTTATGGCTCGAGATGGGGTGTAGATCCCACATTGATAAAATGTACTTTTATGGCTCGAGATGGGGTGTAGATCCCACATTGATAAAATGTACTTTTATGGCTCGAGATGGGGTGTAGATGTGCTTTTATGGCTTGAGATGGGGTGTAGATCCCACATTGATAAAATGTACTTTTATGGCTTGAGATGGGGTGTAGATCCCACATTGATAAAATGTACTTTTATGGCTCGAGATGGGGTGTAGATCCCACATTGATAAAATGTACTTTAATGGCTCGAGATGGGGTGTAGATCCCACATAGATAAAATGTACTTTAATGGCTCGAGATGGGGTGTAGATCCCACATTGATAAAATGTACTTTAAATAATTTAATTTAAATAATCAATTAACTAGCATAGAATAATTTCTAATAACCAGCTTGAGTTAAACAATTATAAACCTAAACATCCATTCACTATGCAGTTCAAGATTATTAAAGACATCAATCTGACACATAGACTGACACAGTATACCTTTTAAATGGTATGGCACTAAGGCAAAGCACAGGACAGGAAACATTGATGTAATGGATTTTCATTATGACAATGTTTCACAGAAATGAAACAATTTCACATTTTCTAGAGAGTTTAAAATGTCATTATCTGGACTATCACTTATATTTCGAACTTGTGTTGTGAGCGTGACTACAGAGCATTATACAAACTTTCTTTGCACCATTTATGACTCAAAAATGAATTGAGGTGAGAAGCATAACTCCAGCAAAGCATCTAAATACGGTCTATACCATAATGAGTCTAAAGTGTAAGAGAAAAGGTCATTCCTACCTTCTTCAGAGGCATGATCAACGCGAGCAGTTGTCTCGTCTTCACTGGATGTGTCATCTAGGTCTATTTCCTCTTCAGATTCTGTAGCTTCCATAATTTACGCTGACACCAATGTTACCTAAGAAAAACCAATGGAAAGGTAATAAACATTACTGCATGTACTGAAATGAAATATTTCTTTCATTATTCCCTGTTATATTGTCCACATATGCATAATCTATGCTGGCAGCAATATTACCAAAAAATACAATAGGAAAGTATAAAACCATACTACTAAGATGGTATTTAAAAAATAAATATGAAGTGAAATATTTGTTTAATGACTAGCTGAACTTGATGATGACGTATTGGAGAAGCTTGAACATTTTCTTGTGACTGTTTACAATCATAACTTGCTGTGTCAAACAAATGCATGATAGCTGATATACTTCACTACATAACTAAAAAAAACTATCACAAACATACCTAATAAATAATAATAAAAAATCAGGCAAACACAATTTTCACAAATATTCTTCTTCCAGAAATCAACCAAGCGCCCGATTAAACTGGATCATGTGATCTAATTTTGCACTGATGACATATACATGATTGCTGTCACAGTGTTGTGACAGCGAATCAAATTGAAAGTTCTTAATCGGGAAATGCTAACTGCTTATAGCCATATTATATGGTCACACATTTTCAACAAAAACAAGGCATATGACGTGAAAGAGATCACACAATCAAAAAACTTCCCAATTTCCACCAGAAAACAAGATGGCCACACAAGTTTATCAGCTCTAGGGTTTGATATCCCCTATCATGTGTGCAAATTTCAAGAAAATCTGATGAGCCGTTTCCTGAAATCGCAATGACAAAAAAGCATGACGGTCGACTATTTTCAACCAATAATGCACCAATTCGCACCACTAATCATCGCCCAGTTCAACCGCTCCACATAGGCATTTAAAAACGCAAAAGGGGAGTAAAACCCAGTAGAAATCAAACCCTGCAGTAACATGTCAAAGTATGGAGTCAAATACAACCAAGCTTTTTTAATAATATACATTCCAAAAACGCCGGGACACCCAGTAAGCCAAAGGTGAAATTGTAGGTAGAAAGGTTTCAAGCATGTCCAGAATATATGGTTATATACGAGTATATTGCAAGTGGATCTAAGAGCCAGTAGCCACCAATATTCACTTAAGAGATGTGTTCAATATGACAGGTTTTCCTGTATTGAAATCACTGGCTGGGAATGAGTGACGCTTTACTATACACAGGTGTCCAATAGAGTACACAGCCAATCTCCAACAACACTGTACAACGTTGTTTCTGAAACGGTATTGTACAGTGTTGTTTAAACGGCGTTGTACAACGTTGTTTCAGAAACGGTGTTGTTCAACGTTGTTTAATCAATACCGTTCAACGCTGTTCAAAAGAGTGTTGTACAGCGTTGTTTAAACAACGTTGTACAACGCCGTTTCTGAAACAACGTTGTACAACACTGTACTCGAACGACACTTGTCAACGTTGTTCAAACGACGTTGTACAACGTTGTTAACAACGTTGTACAGCGTTGTTAGATGATGATGCGGATTGGGGTTGTAGACGCATGTGATCACTAAATGTTCACAAAAGAGGTGTTCATTATAGCAGTTTTACTGTACTGAAATCACAGGCTGGGAATCGGTGTTCACTTTACACAGGTGTTCACCAAAGAGGCATTCTTTGTGACAGTTTAACTGTACTGCAATCACTGGCTGGGGATTCAGTGTTCACCATACACAGGTGTATTCATGAGTCGCCAATAGAATAGAGTCATGTCAACACAGGCTTGAAGGGACTCATGAAATGAGGTCACTGTGAGTTTTTCAAAATAATCTATGAACATCCAATAAGTAGTTGCATGTTCTAATTTCTTGAATTTATACAATTCTTATATTAATATATCTTGATATTGATATTTTCCTTTCATGTCCTAATTTCATAAGTAGTAAGTAAGAATGAAAAGGCCTGATTTTTTATAATACTTTTTTTTTACCATAAAAACTACCCCTGCGAGGATAGTAACATATGAATGTTCCAGTAAGAAAATAACAGCATGAAAGGGGTCATTGTGAACTTGAGATAAATACTGTACTAGCCCGCACTGCTAGACTTAATTTTGCATGGCTCTTTATATTAAATGACTATAACCTTGCAAGAGACAGGACAGAACGTAGATCCAACAATGATATAATGTATTATACATGTATGTCTCTAAATGGGGTTTCTTTTGAAAGGTATTGAATTGATGTCTGTCTATTGACATGAACTTTGATATGAGAGAACTATGTGTATACATATACTATTACAAATCACAGTCATCTTGACTCATCAAGGTTTAGCATATGACTGAAGGAATACACTGGTCTAACTGTATGAATCACAGCATAGCTGCATGCATAATGATAATACATCTATAGCATAAAATATCTGCTGCCTTATAAGGATCCAAGGCTATAAAAGCTAGATCTATATGGTGCCCAAAAAGTAAAGCTGTGCCTATTTATCATATTGTATTGTAAAGTAAAATTTGCCAAGACAGGACTTAGGAGTGAGTCAGTGATTTGATTTATTGAAATCAGGTTTTTCATATTCGGAGGAAAAAAAGCAATTGTTTCTTCAGTTTTCTCAAATCAACATGTAAATAAGTGAAATATTGAGAAATTTCAGGCTGGGCCTCCAAAATTTAGAGAGAAAAACATTTCACTGAAAATAGGTGAACCCATTCTGGTATGCCAGAGCCACTCTTATCTGCCGTTTGCGAGAGACTCTGGTTTATTGAACAGGCCCACTCGTTTAAGGGGCGTTGCTATACGTGAGACCAGCTAAGCCAATCAGAGCGCTCCTTACATAAATCTATTTGACCCAGATAATTGTTTAGTTCATTTCCTATTTTATTGCATGAATACCGTAAAAATCAAGTGCTATATGCTATAAAACCATTGAATAAAAAACTATCGTTGTGTTTGTTTTATTGTCAACGGTTCATATGAGCCCTAATCCAATCGAAAATGATTTTTCTGCAGACTATTTTTTTCATAACGAGTGTACACTTTCGCCATTTTAGAAACTTCGCATGGGAACCATAGAAATCTGTCAATCATGATGACGTATTTGTAAAGCGTCTTTTGATTCGCCCGTCGATAAAGCTGGCCGAGGAACAAATATAACTGCACGTTAAATCGCGGTCACTTTAGAAGGATAAAGACAAAGGGATGGGTGAACCCAATATGAAGCATGTTCTTCTTTAAGGAATTCTAGACGACAGAAATGACAAAATATTGCTTCTGGGACAATGACACATTCTTTACCCTACCTATCTTGTAATTTAACAAACAACACAAATAAACATACAATATTTAAGCAAATATCAGACAAATTCATAAAAAATATTTTTTGATAGACAAATTCTAAACCGGTCCGCGAAGAAGAAGACTTCAGATTATTTCAATTTTTCGTTTATTTCAGTTTTAAAGGGTCAAACATGACTTTGAATTGATCTTCATGCATATTTTGAAAAAAGGTTCACCAAAGAAGGTATTAGACCAGGAAATCATGTCTGTAGCCAGAAGAGTGTTATTTTAAACCATTTTATCCTCTATAAATTGCAATATCCCTTTAATAGTTATAAATCACAGCAAGCTAGATAATACTGGCAGGCCTGTCAACTGTCCCGCAATTTGCGTATTTGTCACGCATTTGCTGAAGAATTTGAAGTCACGCCAGTTATTTTTGCGTGACAGAAAATGTCACGCAAATACGCATTTTACCTGGTAATTGGCAAGCAAAAATATTTCTGTAGAAAAATTTCTAAAAAAGATCGTCTACACAGCAAAAATACGAACGCCGGAAAAAAAATGTACGCATTTCGTTCGGACTTTTCACGCGAATTACGTATATGTCACGCATTCCGTTCGAAATTTTTCGTAGCTACCCCCCCCCCCCGTTGATGGATGTTTGAAACGCGAGCGTAGCGAGGGCGAAAAATTTGAGGTGTTCAAAATTTGGCAAGATGTAATAAAATTTAAACCAAGGTGTTCAAAATTTGGATCAACGTGTCCAGATTTGGACCAAGGTGTCCACATTTTAAGGGGAGGTGTTCAACATTTCCAAGTCACTCATGTTAGGTGTTCCCAAGTTGACAGGCCTGTACTGGGTAACCAAACAAAAATGTAACCCTCTAATTTTGATATAACTCAGTTATTCTTATTGTTAAATGTGTTTATAGCATATTTATTATAGAGTTAACATTGGCAGGATCAAAGGAGGATTGGCTCTCAAAGTGCAACATCGATATTCTGTCCCATATATGAGCATGTGTTGACTTTTAGATATTGAAATGAGTGTGGTTCCTGTTAATCCTATAATTTTAAATATTTCAATTTCCCACCATTTTAGAAACACAATTTAAGATTTTTAAATCCTATCATATACATCACTTTATACTGTAAAACACATCATTTTCCTACAACGCGTCCATTGAATAGATCAGGTAAAAGTCATATTACTTCATCCATTCAATCTAATACTCTATGCATGAGAAGCATAAAAGCAAGTTTGTGATGTCACAATGATATGCTGTAATGTTGCTCAGGTGGCAAAATATTTTTCAAAATACTTATGTGCCTCATTAAAATCATTTTGTTCGCAAATCTTCTATTGATTTTTCAGTCTCAATTTCAGAGTGCGGAAAAATATATTTTGTCAGCTTTAGGGTCATTCTGATCCTGGTCATGTAAATGATATTTGGGACTAGTAAAACTGACTGAAAGTCAAAAGAGAACTCTGTTACAGTGGGGGACATAAAGAATTACAAAAGCTATGGAAATTACATGCTGTCGCACATGTAATAAATTCTTACCTCAGTGTATTCAGTGCTCTATTTTCTCCATCCTAGTAAGTCCAGATATAGTGGAATTTGTGTCCATAATGACAAATAAGAACTTAAAATTTTGAAGTGGAATTCACATGTTAATGCCGACTCTTCAAATGTTGAGGTGATTTTGGAGCCCGATTGCGCCGCAATGTGTCATGTTGCTCCCAGAATGCAACATGACACATGTCAGCTTTCAAAATGCCGCTCCGCCATTTTGAAATCTGTTAAGAGTAAATAAGGTTACCTGATGTTGCATTCTGGGAGTCAATCCTCTTTGGATCACAAACATGGCGATTCATGAAAACATTCAATCGATTTGGTAGGAATTAATCTATCATTTGCAGGTATGAAGCTTTGCATTCATTTATTGTGCTACTTAAAGTGAATGGGAATTATTTTTCTATACCGCTTGGGAGAATTTGAGACACGAAGCTTAGGATTTAGCTCATCGTGACAACTTTTGAGGGTTGAGATTTATTTTGGTCCACCACTGTATCTTGGTTGAAATCTAGCATTAAGTAGAGTGAGACCTTGAGAAATTTAGTGTAGGGAAGAATTTAGTTGAGATTGTTTTTGACCCCCTGTATATAGGAAGATCCATGAAAATTCCCCAAGTAATTAAAAATTTTAAAAAATTTAAAAAAAAAATAAAAAATTTAGATGACTGTATGTTAGTCACCCTGTACATAATCCTGCAATAGATGTTATAATAACAAATTAAGGCTTTCTTTTGTAAATAATAATTAAAAAGTATCAGTGGTCTCCCCAAGCAAGTGGGTGCAGAACCCACCAGAGATTTTGAAAAAGGCTTGCACCCATCCACCTGAAAATCCATTTGCACCAACTTGAAAATGAGAAAAATCATAAAAATTCCATTGACAAATTATGGTCTGAATTGTGAAAAAGAGAATTTTGCACCCATCTGAGAAAAAATCCTGGGGAGATCACTGAGTATGAATATGTGTCCATGTTTACAAAAATCAGCTGACCTGCATCATAATAGTAAAGTGAACTCAGCTTTATGTTGCTGTTTCCAGGCCCGTGAGACACTTTTCTCGAAGGGGGGTGCGGTTTTTACTTTGAAAATATGAAATTGTCAATTTTTAACGCTTCAATCAAATCACGTAAGTCAGAGGGGGGGGGGGGGGTCGGTTACTCCTTATATTTGGGCAATTTAGCCTATTTTGTAGTATTTTATTGTTTTTTGATTAAATATTGAATGAGCAATTTGGAGAAACACTGGAATAGAGGGAAGGTGTGCTAGAAGGGCATAAATGTTTACCCGAAACTTTTTACCAGGTCAAGATCACATTCAGTGATTTCTGGACACTTTAAGGTGTTTAATCAATAGAATCAATTTAAAGAAATTCAGATTTTCAATCATTTTCTTCTTAGGGGAGCGAGGGGGCAGCACAGAAAAATTCTACCAATTCAAGATGCTGTCTGATTTATAATTATAATTCTGAGCACTTTTAATGTGTTTGAGTAAATGATTGCTGAAGTTTTTGGGGTGGGGTGCCAGAAATTTTTATGATTTCATTATGTCACTTGGTGACTGTTTAAGTGTCCAAACTGTCCAATTGTTTTGTATGGGGTGTGAGGAGTGGTCACTCCCTGTAGAAAAATTTTACACTTTTTAGATGCTATTTGGTGCTTTCTGGGCACTTTCAAAGTGTAGGAGTCAATAAAAAATGGAAATTCTTTTGGGGGTGCCAAAGAGGATGAGAGGATGAAGTGTGGGGTGCCAGAGGGGTACCAAGTGGTTGTCTCCCAGAAACATTGACCATATCAAGGTGCTATTTGGTGATGTCTGGGCACTTTAAAAATGTCTGAGACAATAAGTGAAATTCAGAATTATTTCAATTGTTTTGTGGGGGATTTGAGGGATGGCCAACTCTCCAAGAAAATTTTACAATTTTAAGATGATATTTGGTGCATCTGAGCACTTTTAAAGTGTATGAGTCAATAAAAAATTTGAAAAATAATTGTTTTTCTCAATTTTTGAGGGTTGTCAAGGGGGGGGGGTATGCCAGAGGGGAAGGTTGGGTGTGGATGCCAGAGGGCGAGTAAATATCATTGACTATATCAAGGAGCTATTTGATGATGTCTGGGAACTTTAAAAGTGTCTGAGACAATACACAAAATTCAGAATTATTTCAATTGTTTTGTGGGGGATGTGAGGGGTGGCCAACTCTCCTAAAAAAAATTACAATTTTAATATGCTATTTGGTGCTTTCTAGGAACTTTCAAAGTATATGACTCAACAAAAAAATATGAAAAAATAATTTTTTTTCAATTTAGGGGGTTTAAAGGGGGGGGGGGGTGCCAGAGAAGGAGATATGGTGGGGATGCCAGAGGGCGAGTAAGTGTTAGTCTCCAAGAATCATTGACTATATCAAGGAGCTATTTGATGATGTTAGGGCACATTAAAAGTGTCTGAGGCAATATATAAAATAAATTCGGAAATTTTCAATTGTTTTTTTGTTTTAGGTATGAGGAGTGGCCCTCTCCCCCTAGAAAATTTTACAATTTTAAGACACTATTTGGTGCTCTCTGGACACTTTCAAAGTGTATGAGTCAATTAAAACATTTGAGAAAATCACATTTTTTTCAATTATTTGGAGGGGTGTCAAATGGGGGGGGGGGGGTGCCAGAGGGGGAGGTGGGGTGGGGATGCCAGAGGGGGAGCAAGTATTAGTCCCCCAGAAACATTGACTATATCAAGGAGCTACTTGATGATGTCTTGGAACTTTAAAAGTCTCTGGGACAAAACACAAAATTCAGAATTATTTCAATTGTTTTGTGGGGGATATGAGGGGTGATGAACTCTCCTAGAAAATTTACATTTTTAATATGCTATTTGGTGCTTTCTAGGCACTTTCAAAGTATATGACTCAACAAAAAATATGAAAGAATCACCAAGAATCATTGACTATATCAAGGAGCTTCTAGTATTTAATGATGTCAGGCCACTTTAAAAGTGTCTGAGACTATACATAAAATAAATTCAGAACTTTTCCATTGTTTTGTGGGGGGTGTGAGGGGTGCCCCCCAACCCCCAGAAAATTTTACAATTTTGAGATGCTATTTGGTGCTTTCTGGGCATTTTCAAAGTGTATGAGTCAATGAAAAAAAAAATTCATTTTTTTCAAATTTTTGGGGGGTGTCAAAGGGGGTGCGGTCGCACCCATCCCCATTATTAAACCACTTTATATTGATGTGGTACCATTGACGTTATGCTTTGATATTTGAACCAAATCTGGGTTATAATGACATCAGAACATTGGAGTACGATAATTTGTTCATATATTGTGCATGGGCCTCACAGTTCAAAGATATCTCCCACCGCTTGAGGGAAGGTAACTGGAAAGGACCATTCTCAGTTTGGAGAATGAAGTTCATCGGCTTTTTTTGACGTAAAACATATTTCGACGTTATCAATGTCGCCAACAATTTTGATTTTTTAGTGCAGATTGAATTGTGATCTCTTGAATATTTAAGACTTATTCACGGTAATATTTTAATATTTTTTTCATAAAGCAAATGTAAGCGATCCCCACCATCGTTAATAGCCCTTTGTTTCTTATAAAATATTCAAAAGATTATTTTTCAATCTACAGTATGTAAAAAATCAAAATTGCTGTGACTGTGATTATGTCAAAATAAGCTGATGAACTTCATTCTCCAAACTGAGAATGGTCCTTCGTGATACAGTAACTGTCATGTTAGTTCTCAATATGTGGTCAGTTGACATCTAGCTCTCCATCATAAAATTTCATAATGTTATCGCATCACCAAGTATCAGTTATCTTATCATCTGTAAAACCAAAATCCCAGTTACCTTCCCTTAAGTGGTGGAAGATATCGTTGAACTGTGGTGCCTACGCATGGTATATGAATAAATTATCATACTCCAGAGTTTCCATGTCATATAAGCCTAATGGTTTAAATATTAAAGCACATATCAACACACATGTATGCTATTTCTTACAAACCTCCAGCTCGATAAAAAACATTGACAACACCCATTTTCTCACCAATTTTTATGAATTACATATTTGTAATAATTCATTATATCAAAACTGTTAATTTCTAGCTTGTATCAAATTTGTGATCACTTTTCGGGTCTAATTCGCACCCTCCCCTAATTTGAATTTCGACAAATGACAAGCTCTGGGCGAGTATCCCAACTCCCAAAATGAAATATGTACCGCATGAAACATTTAAAAATAATTATTTAAAAAAATCTTATGATGATTGTTACTTATATGGATTATGATTTGAATATCATTCAGCGTAGGTTAGCACTAAGACCAAACATAAATGGATTAAATCAAGTCTCTACAGTGGATCAAGGCCTTAGGAGAGGGTAAGATCGGACAACCATCACATAACCATTAAGCAGCATAATGACGCTATAAAGGATACAAACAAACAACCCAGACAAAGAATAATACCGACAACGGAAAGAAAATTTATTTACTTTCCAGCTTATCAGGATGTAAGCATTAAATACAGACAGACACTACTTCAAACAGATTTGCCACCTAAGCTTAGACTATCGGTTCACATTTGTGTGAATAAACAGAATACTCATGTACTGCTGTGACATTTGTTTGATTGATAGACCAGCACTAAGAAGTGGCACTAACAAAATCAGGTTATATTTAATAAATAACCATAAAAATAACCATACCTTCTAGCAAATTCCATGTGATGTCATAGTTTCGTCTAAACAGACTCCATTTTGTTTTTCCATTTTCAACTTGTAGAAAATATCCTGTAGTTCGAAAATGTTGAAAAATGACTATCACTTCCGTTTTTTCGTATACCTCATATCCATTTGTTGAAGTACATTAATCCATTCATTGATACAAGAAAATGTTGTGTCACTGTGTTGAAGATAATCGCCAACGATTCGTGTGTAATGTTTTGTAGTTCCTACTCATTGCTCTTCTGTAGACAAAATGGCGAAATGGAAATTATTCGACATGTGAACGATCAGCTGGCTGTACTCGTAATGCTGATTGGCCTAACTCGCTCATATAAATTATCAATGACCAGCCTCCAGGAGGAGTGAGTAGCTCCCATAATTCTTTCATATTCTATCGTATTCGGGGATTCCCCATTACATCATCTCTTGCATCATCTCCAATCAAATTGCAGGATTCGATCACGTGAACAATCATGAGCACGTGCTCTCTCAGTGCTGCGCATGCGCAGAGTTAAATTTGAAATCCTGTGAATGGCGTTAACATCAGTTCAACATCATCATTTAAAACCTAGGTAATACTATTGAAGTTACTCGATCCATACTTGTAGAGAATACTCATAAAACTACAGTGAACATTTGGAGATCCATTTCAATGGCAATTTGAGGCCTGTTTATAAAATTTGTTTTCGAACGTGCTAATATGATAGGGCATCTTTGGGAAATATCCCCCCCTGACCAGCCTCCATACAGGGTTCAGAAAAATTACACTGGACGAAACGTTGAATTGCCGATAAAACCGGGAATACAATAACAAGTTGAACGCTACATAAAGGTGCTATAAATACAAGTACAACTCGGTCATATCAATAACTGTTCAACGTTTTTAGGGATGTCAATGCTAAATACTAGGACAAACTATTACTGGGATGGTGATCCATGGGTTTCAGTATTCAGGTGCCTGGGTCTTATCCAGTGCCAGTCCTGGCAAAGGATAACCAGGGTCAGCATGGGAGGTGAAAGGGAGGCAAAGCATTGCCTCAACAAAATGTTTTCAGCAATTATTTCAGTTATATTTGGACAAAAAGATTTGGAAATGAAGTCCAATGATATATCTTATTTATCTTTTATTTTTCTCACCTTTTTACATTCATCTTTGTTAAGGCTCCCGTCAGAACGAAATAAAGATTGAGAGTGTGCCTCACATTTTTTCCCTTTTGTATTGATTAGCAATATGTTTAGATAGAGCCAGGTTCAGAGTCTTGAAGCAAGACTACATATGAAAACCTATCAATGTTTGAATCTTAATGTTCTCAATTACATTAGTTCAGAAATTAATGATGAATTTTTTCAAATCACCAAACATAATATTATAGGCTTTTATAGTGAGTAAAAATGGTCTAGCTATAAGCCCCTGTGACCCCCCCCCACCCCACTGCTACAAGTGTGAGAAGGTGTGTAATCAAGTAGAGGGGGAAAGGGGGGAGGGGCCAGTCACAGCGTCTTGCAGTCAGACTAATTTAAAAGGAAACTTCTAGTTGCCAACTAATGGAGGGGTGTGTTACATGTAAACAGGCAAGAGCATTACTTCTGTCATGTGGAATACTGTTGTAAGATCAGAAGATATAACCTCAACCCAAGCTAGTACTGTATTTGTGAAATTAATTCAATTTACTATAGATAGAGGGCAGTACATATGTCACTCCAATTAATAACACAAAACAACTTTGATTTCCATTACTTTATTTTGAACAAACTTCTTTGTCGACAATAAAACATAAATATAATATTCTCTCTCTACCATTTAAATGCATGCTTACAGAACGACCATTAAAAAAGAATGATTTATACAAACAGTTTATTGTAATCACAGAAACTAGTGCAAACATATGCAATAAAGGAGCAATATAACTGTGAAAAATATAAGCTTTGATGTTAGTACCCCCCCCCCTCCCCCCACCTCATATGCTCTGGGTTCCTCAAAAGTGTTTTTTAACAAAAGGACCTAGATGAGGCAGGGGTACCATTATGCATGGTTTATATCAAAATGTATATTTTAGGCAATGAGAAACAAATTGGCAAGGTCTAAGGCCCAATGGTAAAACATAAAATACATCAAAAATGGCAAGGTAAGTGACCATATAAAAATTAACTCGACCAATAGCCAGAGTAACAGTTTTTGTGAACATCGATTGTATGTACTATGTTTTTGGCAACGTGTCGAACCGAGAAAAACATATGAATTGTTCCAAATATTTATGCATGGAGGATCGTCAAAAGCCAGTGCTTTAAACTGTGCACAAAAACAGCATAACAGCAGAAATATTCAAATTATTTAGATGTGATAATAACAAATATGAGAAAGTTTTATAATTTTAAAAATTGCTACTCGCATGAACTGAGAATCTAGATATTCAGACATTTCATGTAAAATAAATTCATATTATCAATATCAAAAAATATGTAATCAATATCATTTACATTATTAAATTGCTTGTACAACATTTAAGAAATCAATCTTCTAACTCTAGGCATTCAAAAATAAAATGTCAAAACCTTGTTTTTTATTTGGCATCTGTACTTTAGTTCAGTGAATAAAAACTTTTTACGGAATTAATAATTTTAGAGAATTTATTTTTCTAATTGAAATTCAAATTCTGAATACAAACAGACTAAAATTTTTTGGAACATTTACAAAATATTAAATATATACAGCATACACATGTTATCAAAAAGAGCTAAATAAAATAAAAATATAGAACCGAATATCTTAATTACTAAAATACTGTATTTATAAAGACAATGTGACAACAGTCTGACAGTAAGATTTGGTGCACTTTCTGTACATTAAAACCTGATATACATCTATTTTTAAAGCCTACATATAGTAAGACAACACTAAATCAATAAACTAGACTTATCATAAAATAATACATCAAACCTAAACATGAACAACATTCAACAATACTTTCAATCACATTCAATTTACTGAGAAGACTCTTACTGTACTTCTTCTTAATTTGGTGCTACTTATTTTAGCAGATTTGCTGTTTTGAACATTTGGTGGTTACTTAATTTGGTGGAATTACAATATTATTAGAACAATGCAAATGGTACTTATTTAAATGGCGGCTTCTAATTTGGCAAACTTTCGATAAGCCAAATTAAAAAGGCCCCCAAATTAAGAAGTTAGTGGTACAGTGTATGTACATTGTATATGTTTTTGTGAAAGAGACTTTAAGTGCAAGCCATGATGATGGAGACGCCTGGGAACGCCCCTGAAATATACACATATTTCATTCTATTGAGGGGAATTACCAGACCTGTGTATTTTCAAAAGTAATATTCTACAAAGACAAAGCCCAAATGGTAAGTTGGATATCATCTTGAGAAAGTCCCACAGTTAACGAAAATAAATATTTTTTTCTATTATACTACTGTCAAGCTTACTATCATCAATGAGTTTATTTCAATCATTATATATCAAGATCACAATGATGACTGGTAAACAGAGGTCTTAACTTATATTCAAATTATTAATGAATGTTTAAACTCATTCAGAAATTCCCAAGAGCGGTGAATACTGCGAATTATCCAACAGTTTCTTTAATTTGATAAGAGCACGACAAGTATGTAAATATGGACTGATTTTTCATGACAATACAGAGGGGGAAAGGGGGGAAGGGCCAGTCACAGCGTCTTGCAGTCAGACTAATTTAAAAGGAAACTTCTACAATTATACCTGTTTTAATATTTCAAACAAACATTTTTTATCATACACCTTTTTCTAAATAATTTCTAAACCGATATTCATCATTTTTATGTACACCACTAAAGCAAGACTCCAAATCCAAACTGTATTTTTGTCTTTAGTGACATCAGTAAACAACAATATGTCACATCAATTGACTTCAATATGTCACATCAATTGACTTCAATATGTCACATCAATTGACTTCAATATAAAACAACTACAACATCTGACAATTATCAATTGACAACTCGTTTCAAAACATATTAATTTACATCATTGTTCACACATAAATCAATTAAATTACAACAAGTTACATATACATAGAATTACAACATATAAATTGAATTACAACATATCGAGGCCTTCTAAACTTCCACCGATGCAAACATCAGTTCTGACCTCGCAAACAACGTTACTTGCACTCGATTCTCACATTGCAAACATGAAATCTTTTAGTCGCGCACCATCATTTCCTCGCTTCCGAACATATTTCTCTACTCGTGCACATAGTACATAGTAGATTCGGGAGCACGGATCTCGAAATGATGTTCGCATTGGTGGAAGTCTAGGAGGCCTGATATCCATTGGCTTGAGATTCTTAAATTGTATGCAGTAAACATGTATTGACTTAAATAAACACAAAATGACCCTAATAAAAATGAAATGACTTCAATAAACATGGATTCACTTCAATAAAGTAAAATTGATTTCAATAAACATGAATTGACTTCAATAAATATGAATTGACATCAGTAAAGATAAACTGACCTCAATAAACATAAATTGACTTCAACAAACATGAATTGACTTCAATAAATATGAATTGACATCAGTAAACATGAATTGACTTCAATAAACATGAATTGACTTCAATAACCATGGATTGACTTCAATAAATATGAATTGACATCAGTAAAGATAAACTGACTTCAATAAACATGAATTGACTTCAATAAACATGAATTGACATCAGTAAACATGAATTGACTTCAATAAACATGAATTGACTTCAATAACCATGAATTGACTTCAATAAATATGAATTGACACCAGTAAACATGAATTGATTTTAATAACCATGAATATATTTTAATAAACATGAATTGACTTCAATAAACATGAATTGACTTCAATAACCATGAATTGACTTTTAAAATATACATCAGTTGACTTCAATACTTGGTAATGATGTACACTGTGAAGAATCTGACTGAGATGCAATACTTGACAACTCAGTATTTCGACCAATTATATCTCTGGGAGATAATGCATCATAAAATCGTTGAGATTCGCCTATATGGAATTGAATGGGCCCTTGGGATGTGGCATGGTCAGAGGATTCCAGAAACTTTGAGTTCCTCGGGGAATCAGTCCGATGACCATGCTGTCCACTTGCTCCCCTATATTTTTTTGAATCATATCGTCTTAGATCTCGATGGTGCTTCCGAGATTCTCCATCATGGATATTAACACGATTTTCATCATCTCGAACATCGCTCTGTGATTGCGAGCCATTTTGGTTTACTTCTGGGGCTCCATTTACCAGAAGTGAGGGTCTATGCTGAGATAAATATGTAGCAATTGTTACATTTGAACGCTCGGCATCAAACATTGACGTCCTTGAATCGCGACGAAAGAAGTCACGTGATCCTTTACGACTTCTTGGCGGGAGATCCGGCTCTTCTTTTTTACAAAACCAATGCTGAATCATTTTTTTAATATCCACTCTGATAGTTTTATTCCGGAATGCATACACTATTGGATTCAGGGCACATCCTGCAAATGCGATCCAGATGACAATGCCCTCTATTGGTGGAGGAATGTACTGATTGAAGGGAAGTATTGATTCGCAAGCAACTACGATGAAATAAGGGCACCACGACAGAAAAAATGCAGAAAGGACGATAAATCCTGTTTTTGCGGCTTTGTTGTTATCGCGATGAAATATAACATTCCAACTCCCAGTACTACTACGTCTTCGTAATTTTGGCACTCTTGGTAAATCAGCCTCACTTTCTGAATGGTCATCATGACGCAAGCTGGAATTCCCAGTTATTTGCCGAGCAAATGCGGCACTTTTAATGGCAGATATAAACATCCTTATATAGACAGAAAACATAATTATAGATGGCAGTAAGAAACAGATTACCACAATTATAATCCCATAGGCTCGGTGGTGCCATCTTTGTGTTCTCCACGCAACTGTGCAGGTGAACTTGTGTCTCTGGTACATTATTTCATTGGCTCCTAAAAGTGGTGGTATACTAAGTATGAATGCTACAATCCAGATGCCAGCTATGAAACAGTTCACTCTACGTCTTGTTACTTGCATTGTGTAATGCAAAGGTTTATGTATGGCGTAATTCATATCAACTGCGATACTTAGTAATGTCAATATACAAGCCACGAACAGGAATGTCGTTAAAATACCAATCATCTCGCAGACTCCTTTCCCGAATGTCCAGGTTTCAGTCAGGGTTGACACTAATGCAAATGGCATCACAAAAATGGCCATAAAGAAGTTACACACTGATAAATTTAAGACAAGTCGATTGGATATCGTTAGCAATCTTCTTTTGTGATTAAATACTGCAAACACTAAGCCATTCCCCGCTATTGTCATGAGAATGATCAAAATTAGTGTCACAAAGAATGTTATCCGTTGTGCAGAACTTATTGGCACAAGAATAGGTGGCGCATTGGAAGTCATATTTGTTACCATATTAGGCGTGTTGTTTGCACTCGGTGCTAAAGTTATATTCCATATTATATCCGCCATAGCTCAGTCAACTGATACTCTTCCAACCCCAGTACTGGATTGGAAATATCAAAACACCAACTACTATCAATTACAAATACATTCTAGGGTCTTCACACCCCTTCTTCTAATAGTCCATAAGTCCAGAATGGAAGGTGGCTGAGTCCAAGTTATCAATATAGGTATGCCAGATTGTTATTTACCAGCTGATATCCTTGCCCTGGAGAGATCCTACTTATTGAGATTCTTGATAGTTCTTGTTTGTGATAAGATTTCCCTGAAGGTATTTTGAACCCTGGATACCAGGCTAATTCAGGTTAGACTTCTAAGAGAGCTTCAATAACATTCAGATATTGGAAAGCTCACTGAGTATCTTTTATTAAGTCCTATCAATACCAGTTTATTCTTGTATTTGTGTAGTTTCTCCAGAGTTGACTATTATACTTGAGACACTGCACCAGTCCTAGTTCCAAGTCTTATTATAGTCCTAGTAAATGAATTTGAAGCCAAATTACATGAAGGTTGTGTTTGCACTTTTTCTCAATTACTGATGCCACATCAAAGTGTTCTATCGACTCTATTCACTGTATCATTAATAAGTGATTAGTAAGTGATTAATAAGTGATCCAAAGGATTATTTGAAACTGTTTTTGAAGCCAAATATCCTGGAGATTCCAATAAGTTTTATTTATTAGACTTCACGGAATTGTAAATTAAATCTTTTATTGAACTCTTAGATTATCCAATCCAGCATAGTGTTAATAAATAATTCATTTCATAGTTCATGTAACATTAAACGATTGGTCCGTTTCTTTTCGCAAGAATTAATTTCTGAAAATAACATCAATTGTTTTGGAATAGGATCTCTTCTTCTGTTGTATCCAATATGAACATGTTATCCTCTAATAAATTTTCAAATGCTACAATCACAAAGCTAATATTGGCATTTATTTGTTGTGTCTGACTCTTTATCTTTTTGAATTATAATCATTCTTTATTCAGTTGCATTCACTCCATTCGTATAAAACTATTAGAATAAATAACGTTTTTATTCTAAATGACTCTCTGGGGGAGTAATTATGAGAACGTCTGAATCCCCGTCAAGGTTAATAGACAATGTCTGGGAATATTTATTTCTTTTTGTCTCTTTTCTAAGACACTTGGGAGAATTTGTTTTTCTTAAGGCGTAAGAAATCTATCTTTCTTTCCAGAATTTTGCAGTTATCACTTCTATTTAGTAGTAATTATTATCTACCGTGAACTGAAGATTAAGAGCTTTGGGGTTTATCATTAAGGGCACAATCCAGGTCAGAGATAATCTTCTTTTAGAGTTAAGCTGTTTGTTTTTAATGTTATTGTACAGTTGTTGTTATTGCTATTGTTATAATGTCGTTCCAGTTATTGTTGTTGTAATGTTGTTCCAGTTATTGTTGTTATAATGTCATTCCAGTTATTGTTGTTGTTATATTGTTCCAATTATTGTTGTTGTAATGTTCAAGTTATTGTAATGTAGTTCTAGTTATTGTTGTTGTAATTTTGTTCCAATTATCGTTGTTGTAATGTTGTTCCTGTTATTATTGTTTATGGTGCTATTCCATAGACTGTATCTGTCTTTAACATGATTTAGTCCAATTACTTTTGTCGCCAGATATCTTTCCCAATACATTTATTTTCTTTGATGTATTTTGAATGAGAATTGTTTTGATTAATGATTAAAAAGTTGCATCTCAGTTTCTTAATTCAACCACTGTATAAGCAAAATTCAATTAAACAATTCTCCTATAGTGTTAACGCAGGATTGTTTTTCTATTATTCAGTTTTAATCCAGTAAAAGGTTTTATCATATCTTTTTTTAGAGTGATTGGCTTAGTTGTAAGCAATCAGAGATCCTAATCCATTATCGATGAGTTAACAAATACACGAAGTATTCAAATTCGTTTCTTTCCAAATTTCATCAATCAATGATGAACTTTTCTCTTGTTCAGTAAATTAATTCAATTCAATTTGTCTTCAAAGCAGTAATCTATCGGAATCCGGTCGAGTGTTTGAATTGTTCTCCTTTGATAGACTGTCACAAACTGATTCTGTTTATAAACGAACAATTCCGCCTTACAATCGGTCTAACTGGTCTCATTAGTCCGCCCACACAAATGCTGTAACACTTCCCCCTTGTAGACTATAGTTTGTCCCCGAATTCGATATGATCTTGTTTACCAGGTTCCTTCCCATATAATAGAAATTTTCAATATCCCGATGGTTTTAATGTTTCCAGGAATCCATAATCCATTTTATAATCTAATAATGATACCGTAGCAGCGTTAATTTAGACCAATTTATCTCCCGGAACGGAAAGAACGTCCACTGGGGAGAAGATTACTTCCAAATTGGAGGAAACTTAGATGTTATGAAATATATGTATTGATCACACAGAACGTTATATTAATACACCATGTATTCTACAATATTATCTATTCCAGGGAATCTATGGAGGTCTCTTCAATAAAACTGCCAAATTATTTCCTGTTCCGAATCCACTGCTTTCAGTTGCTATCTCATCAACTGATTGGGTCTCGTGACATATATTTCTTGATTGAGAGCGTTAACGTTTCATCGACTTGTATCCATTAGCGATAATGACATAATAATTCAAATTAGTCTGTTTAACAAAGATCCAAGTCTCTGAATGTATTTTTAAAAGCTTGTATTTAGTCGATTTCTAAAGGTCAGTTTCGGCTTTTAACTTGTGTGATAATTATTTTTACTTCAGTAATTATCAGTGCTTTGACAATAGCTTATATGTACATCGCTGAGTCCCTCTAAGGCTAGTGTATATTTTACTTCTGATTGAGCTAATTGTGTATTCTGGTCTATTTCTATCTCATCACTACAGCCTTAAGTGACACGGGCGGTGATAAATACGACCATATATGGAGTTCACTTCGGGACACGGTCATCAATCGGGGAATCTGTCAATAGATGCCCTGAAAGTAAAAAAGTTGGATTCAATTAAATCAATATTTTATCATAATTGATGAATAATATTGCTAATGACACCCTGAGTTCAACCATTAGTATACTATATTCTGATTTGAACAGGGTTCCATAATTGAAATTTTGTAATATTATTTTCAAAGCAAAATATATCTATTTCAATATTCTTCTTGCTATGCAGTTTCTATGAATTCCAGGTATTTTATCAATAACTTTAAAATACATTTTTTGACTAAAATACAATGATACAAAACTCTATTTAGCATTTTAGCAGGTGTTCACATTACAAGCTTTTTCAAATATATGAGTGAATGGGAGAATTTTTCAGGCAGAGAAAAAGTGTTTACATTGAGACGTGTTTCTTTCATTATACCAATCAGAAATCCTCCTCTGCCTTCGCCCATAACCTGCTTTTCTTCAACAGGATCGAGGAAGTAGATGGGAAGGAGGAGGGGAGGGGGGGGGGCTCGATGCATAACAAGATCAGATAGAAAATAACACAAAATGCACTAAATCATCTTGAAAGGTCACGCTAACCTAATCCTACTAGAAGACTAACATCTGAGAAATAAGGAGAAGCATATGGTTAAGTAATATCTCAAAGGTGGATTCATCAACTTATCTATTTTGAGATCAAAGGAATGCACTCTATATAAAAAAATGAATCAACAGTGCCTAAGTTAAATCTGTTAAAGTAGTTAAAGTCTACTTAATCTACTTAAAGTAGCCCAAAAAACATATGCTTAAAATCATACTCTAACTCGAGCGAACCCCCCCCCCCCCCTGGCCGAAAAATATTTTAAGTTCATGCAGTTTTTCACAATTCTGAGCACTTTTTAAGTGATTTTGGCCATTTTTGGTCAAAAATTGTCACAAGTGAACCCCCCTGGAATTATTCAAAAAGTGAACCCCCCTTGGCAAATCCTGGCTACGGGCCTGCTAGCATTACAGTGATATGTATTGGAAGGATTACAACTATTATCACATATGAGATCCAGAAATAAATGTTTCCAACATCAAAACCTTTAAAAATAAGACATGTACTATTTATTTTGGACATATTGTTCGATATTATATATTATTTATAAAGGTGATTTCTATTTTTAAAGGGTTCCAATAAAATAAAATAAATATAAAAACAATATGGCGGCTCCAGGCGAATCAACTGGATCAGTCCATTTTTAAGAAATAAGGGGAGTTCTGTAAAATCCAGTTTATTGAAATTGTCTTTGAGATAAAGTAATCCGTTTATAATGATTTTGAAAACGTTATCCATGGAGTGATTGCGTTCAAACAGTACATGTACAACAGCCAATATAAATCCTTGTATGAGAACTGCTTTGTTTCATTTGTAGGATATTTCATATGCCAAGCTGTGTGCTATTACGTTATGGGGAAATTTAGATGCCAATTTTTCCTTATTATACACAAATAGAAGATCCTGAAACTTCACCCATAAATTTGGAATTGATTTGTCAAAATAAAAATCACCCTTTTATAAATGTGTGACGATCTATAATATACTTCTGCTATATAACAGTTAGAGGTGTTGACACAACATCGAACCTGTAAACCCAGTATTATTCCGGGATCGGGCCTTTTATACTAAACGGTGAGCAGCATCAGAAACGAGCGTTCGATTTGCTAAACGATATGCGTCACCCTTTAAAGAGGCAACAAGGCCTGTAGAGAGACAATTTGAAAATTTTTACTTTTTCTATCAGGGCAACATTTGCTTTCTTAAAATGTATGGATAAACTATCAATTTCAGCATTAAGAAGTGTAAATTCAATTCAAAGCTTCTAAAAGGGAGTCCCACTTATAGATTTTTATAGAGGAATATCAGCTGAAATAATGTTTATCCAGGGGGTTTCTTTGGAAATAATAAAAATATATGTTAGTCTTGAAGAAATAACCGAACTTAAATATATTTTGAAACTGGTCCAGGATCCTTGAATGGCCCCTCTGCACTCATTGTTGCACCTTTAATCATTAACATTTATAAATAAATCATTAACAAGGCAAGTAATTAAGGCCCTTGCAATTAATTATATGTTTACATAGATAACTTCTTAAAAAATATATGCCAGTCTATTAAACTTCCCAAAAATCTTTCAAAAATATCATTGTCAATTTCATGGGAAATTCTGCAGGAATGAACAAAATTCAGAATTCTGGGCTAAGATAAATTGTGGCTGTGTTCTGAGAAAATATGAGTGATGTTCAGACTAGACTATAATTAATTAAGCATGATGATCCAATTAAAAGCCATCATGTATAATCACTAATTGATCGTTAACAGCAATATTACATAACGACCAATGCACTGAATGCAGACTAGTAATTATTTATAAATCTACATTCTGATACTCATAGCATCTTTCTGTTTCACTTGAAATCTCAGAGCTGAGAAGAAATGAGTTGTCATAGTTTATCATGATGATAAATCTATATCCTTGCAGATTCCCACAATTTCCAACTATGTGGGAGTATCTGGGTATAAGCTAGAGTAGGGGAGAAATTGACTAGAAGTTCATAGGGA